TAACATAGTTCAGCATAGTCATTGTCACTGGACGTGTGTGTGTGTGTGTGTGTGTGTGGTACGGCTCACCTGCATGCCGATGATGGCATAGATGAAGAAGAGCATAGCGATGAGGAGGCAGACGTAAGGTAGGGCCTGGAAATAGAAAACACAAACCGAGAAGTTAACAGCCCAGTAAGGTTTAATAGTCTTATTTATGGAGCAGAGCAGCCAACTTGACCCGCGGGGTTGATTTCCTTAATCACATATTTATAAGGCTACACATTAATCATAATTAATGAGCTACCTTTTAACACTCTTCAGCAACTCTTCATTTTCATTGGGGCTTAAAAGCGCTCACCACCCCACATTTAACCTGCTATCAAATTAACTATTATTGGCAATGCCCTTGTTCTCTCTATGACAAAAGCTCCATAGAACAAACCACTTCTCTAAGACTCCAAATAAACATCAATATCACTCCAAATGCCATTAAAGGGATACTTTGGGATTTTGGCCATGATGCCCTTTATCTACTTCCCCAGATTCAGTTGAACTTGTCGATACCATTTTTATGTCTCTGTGTACATTATGAAGGAAGTTAGAGGTCGTTTCGCGAGCCAATGCCAAACTCCCTCTAACTTCCTTCATAATGGACACAGAGACATAAAAATGTTATCCACAAGTTCATCTGAGGAAGTAGATAAAGGGCCTCATTGCCAAAATCCCGAAGTATCCCTTTAAGTACAGTGGGGGAAAAAAGTATTTAGTCAGCCACCAATTGTGCAAGTTCTCCCACTTAATAAGATGAGAGAGGCCTGTAATTTTCAGACAAAATGAGATTTTTTTTTCCAGAAAATCACATTGTAGGATTTTTAATGAATTTATTTGCAAATTATGGTGGAAAATAAGTATTTGGTCAATAACAAAAGTTTCTCAATACTTTGTTATATACCCTTTGTTGGCAATGACACAGGTCAAACGTTTTCTGTAAGTCTTCACAAGGTTTTCACACACTGTTGCTGGTATTTTGGCCCATTCCTCCATGCAGATCTCCTCTAGAGCAGTGATGTTTTGGGGCTGTCGCTGGGCAACACAGACTTTCAACTCCCTCCAAAGATTTTCTATGGGGTTGAGATCTGGAGACTGGCTAGGCCACTCCAGGACCTTGAAATGCTTCTTACGAAGCCACTCCTTCGTTGCCCGAGTGGTGTGTTTGGGATCATTGTCATGCTGAAAGACCCAGCCACGTTTCATCTTCAATGCCCTTGCTGTTGGAAGGAGGTTTTCACTCAAAATCTCACGATACATGGCCCCATTCATTCTTTCCTTTACACGGATCAGTCGTCCTGGTCCCTTTCCAGAAAAACATCCCCAAAGCATGATGTTTCCACCCCCATGCTTCACAGTAGGTATGGTGTTCTTTGGATGCAACTCAGCATTCTTTGTCCTCCAAACACGACGAGTTGAGTTTTTACCAAAAAGTTATTTTTTGGTTTCATCTGACCATATGACATTCTCCCAATGCTCTTCTGGATCATCCAAATGCACTCTAGCAAACTTCAGACGGGCCTGGACATGTACTGGCTTAAGCAGGGGGACACGTCTGGACCTGCAGGATTTGAGTCCCTGGCGGCGTAGTGTGTTACTGATGGTAGGCTTTGTTACTTTGGTCCCATCTCTCTGCAGGTCATTCACTAGGTCCCCCCGTGTGGTTCTGGGATTTTTGCTCACCGTTCTTGTGATCATTTTGACCCCACGGGGTGAGATCTTGCGTGGAGCCCCAGATCGAGGGAGATTATCAGTGGTCTTGTATGTCTTCCATTTCCTAATAATTGCTCCCGCAGTTGATTTCTTCAAACCAAGCTGCTTACCTATTGCAGATTCAGTCTTCCCAGCCTGGTGCAGGTCTACAATTTTGTTTCTGGTGTCCTTTGACAGCTCTTTGGTCTTGGCCATAGTGGAGTTTGGAGTGTGACTGTTTGAGGTTGTGGACAGGTGTCTTTTATACTGATAACAAGTTCAAACAGGTGCCATTAATACAGGTAACGAGTGGAGGACAGTGGAGCCTCTTAAAGAAGAAGTTACACGTCTGTGAGAGCCAGAAATCTTGCTTGTTTGTAGGTGACCAAATACTTATTTTTCACCATAATTTGCAAATAAATTCATTAAAAATCCCACAATGTGATTTTCTGGAGACAAAAAATCTCAATTTGTCTGTCATAGTTGACGTGTACCTATGATGAAAATTACAGGCCTCTCTCATCTTTTTAAGTGGGAGAACTTGCACAATTGGGGGCTGACTAAATACTTTTTTCCCCCACTATATACACAAAAGCTAAAAAATATGCCCTCATTTTATTTCCTTATATCTCCTTACAGTTCAATCTATATGCTTACGGTTATTACAAAATAATGAATCAGCCTACTTTCATTCAATTCACTACAATTGATCAGATGAATACCATGTAACTCTCAACTCAAGACTCCATGTTGAGTAGGCAGGGGTCAAACCTCAGGGTCAAGGGTCAGAGGTCAGGGGTCAGTGACTCACCTTGAAGGACTGGACAAAGGTCCATAGCAGGATGCGAATGGTGTAGCCCTGTCTCAGCAGCTTGATGAGCCTGGCCGCCCTGAACAGCCTCAGGAAACTCAGGTTGATCAGCTTGTCCTGCAGGAGGAGACACACTGGCCATTCAAACTGGTCCTGGATCAGATCTGGGTTACACTCAGAATGGCTGAGGTTAACAAGGGGGCTCAGTGAAGCAGTGGTCAAATTTCAGTGAAGAGTATCTACCTATCCATTTATGTATGATTTATGTATGATTCAGACTGGCTGCCAAGGGAATGGTCAAAAGCAGCGGGAACAAGAAAAGACACTTACCGTCTAGAGAGGCCCAGAGTGTCAGAAAGGGTGGCACAGGCGCCAGCAAAGAAATAGCAGAAGATGGAAACACAGCAAGAGAAAGAGAGAGAAAACCAGAGAGCGAGAGAAGAAAAAGACAGTCATGTAGAGAGAAATCCGACACAAAGGGAGATTTCTTCCACAAAGAGAGTTAAATAGTAAACGGACTACTCCAATCCACTTCAGTGTTACTGTGCTGCAATCTGCACAGAGGCTTTACCCATTTCAAAATCCGCCTGCCACTCCGGTCTGTCCCCCAGCTCCATACTAATCGATCCAGCAGGAGAGACTGACTGTTCAGTCCCGGCAGGCAACCGGGGCCAAACTTCCTGCCATCCAGGACCTCTATACCAGGCGGTGTCAGAGGAAGGCCCTAAATATTGCCAAAGACTCCAGCCACCCTAGTCATAGACTGTTCTCTCTGCTACCGCACGGCAAGCGGTACCAGAGTGCTAAGTCTAGGTCCAAAAAGCTTCTTAACAGATTCTACCCCCAAGCCATAAGACTCCTGAACAGCTAATCAAATGATACCCGGACTATTTGCATTGTCCCCCACCACCTCTTTATACGCTGCTGCTACTCTCTGTTTATTATCTATGCATAGTCACTTTATCTCTACCCACATGTACATATTACTTAAATTACCTTGACTAACCTGTGCCCCCGCACATTGACTCTGTACCGGTACACCCTGTATATAGCCTCACTACTGCTATTTTACTGCTGCTCTTTAATTATTTGTTATTTTTCCATTTTTCTTCTTTTTTATATTTACTTATCTATTTTTTACTTAACACTTATTTTTCTTAAAACTGCATTGTTGGTTAAGGGCTTGTAAGTAAGCATTTTACTGTGAGGTCTACACCTGTTGTATTCGGCGCATGTGACAAATACAATTTGATTTGATTTGATTTGATATGATGCTGGCTTCCACTGATTACCTCACCACCAGCACTGTAACTTGGATAAACGTCATGAAAACATCCTCATTCAAGGAGTAAATGTATTATGAGTGAAGACATACAGGCACGACCGCATATAGGAGAATCGCTATGTCCTGATGCATTTTGTAAATTGCCATATATTTTTGCCATATAAGAAGTTGTATGGGCACACTGTACTGAAGCAGCTCTTACATAAAGTAAGATATTGTATAGGGACATGGTAGCAGCACTTACCTTAATCTCTGTGACCAAGATGTCCGTGATACTCCCCAATACTGTCACAAAGTCAAACACGTTCCAAGCTGCCTTCAGGTAATTCTGCAAACAGAGGAAGAGAGAGGAAGAAAGAGAAAGCGAGAAATAGAGGGAGCGAGCGAGAGAGGGGGGAGAGAGAGAGGGGGGTGGGAGGGAGAGGGGGGAGGGAGGGAGAGGGATAAAGAGGTTTTACTGTCATTGGTACCAAACTCTTGCTATTTAAATGCTTTCCTTAGGCCACGCTCTACAGAGCATGTCTTCTAAGCTCCTCAAATGAGGCAGCTTTTAATGAGTTGCTTTGAGTTTCATTAAAAGGCCATCCAATATTTAGCTACAGTGTGTCACTCACTCCCTGACACACACACACAGATTCTAAACAGTCTTTCAAACAGTGGCACAGACCTCCTAAGACAGACAGGCCAATCTGTCAGGTGGCATGGCAGTGAGCATATGCTCCTCCTGGGGAGCATAGCAATTTGAAAAGCAGGGGGTTTAAAACTACATAGGTGCCCGGAGAGAGAGAGAGAGGCCCATCCATCTGGGCTAAGTGCTGAACAGGTGGAGGTAAGTGGCGTGTGAGAAAAGCCATTTGATAAATGAGCCTGGGGATGAACTGTGGATGAAACTAGAGATGAAGCGCCTCGCCGAGGGGCCAGACGGCCCGGCACTGCCTGGGAGATTTATTTGTCCCTCCCTCCATCCTACACCTCTGCGTTACCTTCCCACCCTCATCCCCTCAACTGAAGCTGTTGTATCATCCCCAACACACACCTCTCCTCCCCGGTGGCTCTTGCTGAAGGCTTGTCAGCCTACCCTCATCCAGCCTACCCCTTCATCCATCAACCTTCCAACGTTTTCACAAAGGCTCTTTATCAGTCTCTGTCCTGATTTCCCCCTTTCTCTATCTCTGCTTCTCTGTCTCTCTTTCCCACCCTGGTACTCAAACTAATCATCTATTTTCCCAAAAAGGACAACTTGAGTGATTCCAAAATTAGTCTACAGTCGATTTTCCAAAATGCTTGGATAGATAGTGACCATGTGCAGTAATGTATGGAGAGATGGAGGCTCACCAGTGGTCCGAAAGCGATGATCTTGAGGATGCACTCTAGTGTGAAGAGAGCTGTGAACACAATGTTCAGGTACTTCAGCATGGCCTCGTACAGCTCCGGAGCACCGTGAAACTGAAGGCAGAGGTCAGAGGTCAGGCAAAGGTCAGGAAGATGTCAATCAGTGGTCAACATTCATTCCCACTGAACATGAGGAAATGATAATAGGCATGTCCATTTCCAATTTCATACAGACAGACCATTGTAATACTTGTTAAAGTTATCCTTCCCCTCTTTCTTCATCTTTCTGTCTCTATCTGTCACACATTTACATACATTTACATTTTAGTCATTTAGCAGACGCTCTTATCCAGAGCGACTTACAGGAGAGTGTGTGTGTGTGTGTGTGTGTGTGTGTGTGTGTGTGTGTGTGTGTGTGTGTGTGCGCGCGCATGTGCGTCTTTGTGTATAACACTGTCCCTGATTAATTGACCGGTAATTAACAAACACGTTTAGTATCGCCAGACCTCCACGCATACCAGCTGCATACAAACTGCTGATGCGTTCTTTTGGAATATCTACATTAAAAAAATATATATATATAAATTATAATAAATCAATTTAATATACACCATCACAATAAATCCATTATTTATTTTAGTCAGGTCTAAAGAAACATTATTATTTGAAGAAAATATTTCAGAAGAACAGAATATGAGTTGGCCTACTGTATGTTATCTGGCTATGCTCCATGCCATAGGCTGTAGGCTTGTTCCTTTAGCTGACAAGATATGCTTATAAGTTCCGTGCCATTATTTTATATTATATGATTTTATAGTAAGAAGAATATAATTGAACTTAGCTGAATAAAATAGAAAGGATATTTTTCCCATTCTGGAGCGAGTGCACATATGAAGTTGTGAGTAAAAGTGATAATTTGAAAAAAGGTCCTATATGTTAGATTTTTAGTTATTTGGCAACTTTGGTTTTGAATGTTACAAACCTTAGAATGTCTTAGAAAGCAAAACATATATGGGCTGCATGGTGCGACAATAGGCTATTGATTATATGTTCCTTGCCTCAGGCTGCACAGCTGTTCTCTCATCAAGTGATCATATTTTCACCCATCAGACTATTCTCAATTTAATCTTCTCTTTACTATGTAAAATTAGTTTTGATTTAGAATGGCCCATTATAAAATGGGCAGGAACAGGGGCAGCGGAAAAAAGATATGTAATCTGTATGCACTCGAATAGCGAATGGAGGCCTCGCGCTTTCCCCGCCGGTCCGGTAGGCTACTTCGGTTTTATAGTGGAGCTGTACTTAATATGAGTAGATATAACAACACTTATTTCACTTCATGCATCAACCACTGTTTGAGGAGCATGTACTCGCTGCTCTCCAACCTCGTTCCTGCAGCTACCAATTGCTTAATTTGGGAAACCAAGTGAATGAAATCTGTTCGGGAACATCAACAGTAACATGTTTTCGCAACAAAACATATTTCACAAAACTGTTGACAGCCCGTCTGCACGCTCGAGAAAGGAATAAAGGAGAGAGAGGAGGAGATGGAAACGCATAGTGGTGAGATATTCTGTATAGCTAAAGATAATGTGCCACCAAATTAATTATGAAAATATAAGAAATTCCCTATTACTTGGCTCTTCAAAATCAAATACAAATTCACTATAATTGTAGGCTACCTGTAAGCTGCCCTGCACAATCAATGAACCAACAGCATCGCCTAGGGCTCTCTCCCAGAATCATGGATAGACATTTTGGAGCATAACATAAGGTAACCAGTCCATCCAGTATGCATAATAATACAGTTCACACTCAAAAGGCGATTACTCAGATTTGTTTAATTTTGGAGTATAGGCTAGACCAATTATGTACCCAAGACATCTTTAAACGTTTGATGTTTTTCTGCCATGGGTAATATGCGGTAGGCTATGCGGTATAACGGCACAATCATCATTTTAATTCAGATTTATTTTTAGGCTTGGGCTCATAAGCCTATGCATAAGCTCTTATATGTTTTTGGGTGTTTTGAATTAATCATCACCTTAGAAAGTGCTGCCCATTTCTTTGTGTTAGTCTTTGAAACAACATCCACAACGACCATGTTTTACACTCAGTTTCAACCTGTTGTTGAACTTCTTTCTTCAAATTGATCATCACAGTGAGGTGAGGTAAAAGCACAATACTGTTTTGATGAAAAGTGTTTATTATTTTTGATTGCATTTGCATTGGCGTCAGAATGGTTAGAGGGACAATAGTGCCCTGACTACCAGGCCATTAGGACCTGTCAGTCGTTAGCAAGTTGGGTATGTCCAGAGTGCTTAAAAGGAGATTACCGTGACTCAACAGTCATGTGGATTTTTACTGTGGTCATGATTCATGACTGCCGGTTTGGCGGTAATATGGTCACCGCAACAGCCCTATCCCTCAGTCTGACAGACATGTACAGGTCTATACCTGCAGATAAGCCAGATGGCTCAGCCATGTGGTTAAGGGCATTAGCAACAGAGAGGCTGCTCTCAAAACTAGCTTGTACATCAACAACGAATAAGTTCAATGTATCCATCCAAATTATACTGATTACCTGTGCCAAAACACTCTCCCAAAGTTATCCCGCTCAAGGTAAAAATGTCCCCTTACAACAGATCTAGGATCAGATTTCCCAACCCCCAAATCATTCATTAGAGTTAGAGTTATGACAAACGATCTGACCCTGCGTCAGTGATCAAGGGCAACTTGCTATGCTTATATCCAGTTATAGGTTGTGTTCCAGGCTGACTTCATAGCAGACGATAAAGTTGCATCAACCAATGGTTGTGTGCCACATTATTGACTGTGCAGTGGGGCATCCAATTGCTATTATGTGTATAGTTATCCAGTCATTCTGAGATATGGCATGCGTCTACAATGTAGTCAGCCTGGAACGCGACCATTGTTTCTACAATGGACACATGCAATATGTCACAGCGCCCCTGGTGTGTGGGAAGCATCACTGACCTTCATCATCAGCACCACAGTGTTGAGTGCGATCATGGTCATGATGGAGTACTCAAAGGGCGGCGACACCACAAACTGCCACATCTTATACTGGAACGACTGCTTGTCTGCCGGCATGTAGCGCGTCAGAGGCTTGGCGTTGATGGCAAAGTCGATACAAGCTCTCTGTGTTGGAGGAGGGGGAGGGGAAGAAAGAAAGAAAGAAAGAAAGAAAGAAAGAAAGAAAGAAAGAAAGAAAGAAAGAAAGAAAGAAAGAAAGAAAGAAAGAAAGAAAGAAAGAAAGAAAGAAAGAAAGAAAGAAAGAAAGAAAGAAAGAAAAAAAGAACGAAAGAAAGAAAGAAAGGTGGGAGGGAGTGAGGGGGGGAACAAAGTGCATAAAAAACTATTAGATTGTAAGAGTTTGTGAAACTCACTCACTCATCTCCCTAATCAGATCTGATATTGTTCAAACACTGATTATCAACATAAAAAAGGACCATTGTACAATCAAATGAAAAAGATCGAAGGCTGAACTAACGTCCGATAAGTGCTGGCAACACAACAGTTTCCAGGAGTGTTTAATATCCCGAGACAAGGCTGCAAAAGCAGTTTACAGACAAGAAACACAAATGCTGCGTCCCAAATGGCACTCTATTCCCTATATAGTGTACTGCTTTTGAGCCCATAGGGCTCTGGTAAAAAGTAGTGCACCATAAAAGGGAATAGGGTGCCATTTGAGACATAGCCAGTGAAACTCAGTGATGTAGGAAATAGAGATACAGCTGGATAGACTGGGCTGGTTGCTCCTCCTGAGGGTTGCTGTTCTTTTGTGTTGACGCCTTTTGAGGGAAACAACAGTCTAGCAAGGAAATCAACTGAAATATATCCACAGGTGCTCTGAAAAGTATTGAGATATCTAACACTGGGCCGGTTTCAACAGAGGAGAGGCAGAAATGACTTTGCCTTCTATTAATAACGGTCTGTGCACGTCTCAACAAAAAGTGAGTTACCTCCTACTGGGTGCTAGGCAACTAGGTGAGAGTGTGTCTGTTCTCTGTGTGTGTATGTGTGTTTTCCTCTCTGCTTGTGTATGTGTGTGTCTCTCTGTGTACGTGTGTGTATATCTCTCTCTGTGGTCCAGCGTGTGTTCAAACAGCATACTGTGCCTTGTTCTTCTCCAGTCTACAACCTGACACGGTCTTGTCTCCCGGCTCGTGGAAGGTGTGTGTGTTGTGTTGTGTGTGCCTGCGTGCGTGCGTGTATGTGTGTGTGTGTGTTTGTGTACCTCGTTCTTCTCCAGACTACACTCTGACATGGCCTTGTCTCCCTGCTCCTGGAAGGTGATGATGATCAAAGCCACGAAGATGTTGACGAAGAAGAAGGGAAAGACCACAAAGTAGACCACATAGAAGATAGAGGTCTCCATACGGAAGCCTGGGCTGGGACCCTCGTCCTCATAGGTGGCATCCACAGAATGCTTTAGGACCCTGGAGAAAACAGGTGAACAGGAGGGTGAATTTGCCCCTAGTGGCTGACCTTGGGTCAGTTTTGTATTTTTCCCACTATGGTTGAAGTAAGGATTTGGGTAGGGCAAGCTGATCCTAGATCTGTACCTAGAGGAAACATCACCCGAAGCTACACAAACATGAGGCAAGGCCAATGACACTAAACTAAGAAGACAAACATGCAACTATTATGTACAGCCCTCTAACCAATTGTACTATTATGTGTGTTTTTCGGCGTTATTTGTAATTTATTCTGTACATAATATTTCTGCCATCGTCTCTTATAACCAAAAAGAGCTTCTGGATATCAGGACAGCGATTACTCACCTCGTATTGAACGCCGATTTTTTCTTCAACAAGTCGGACGCGAAGGATATCCTACAGACACCCGACAAGGCCCAAATCCCCGTCATTCGCATGAGAAAGAGACGGAGATATCGTGGACGTAGGTCGGGATGCCTTGTAAGGATCCGACGGTGAGCGAGTAAACTGCCTTTTCCATCAATCCTATTAGCCAATGTTCAATAAATTAGATGACCTAAGATTACGGTTATCCTACCAACGGGACATTAAAAACTGTAATATATTATGTTTCACCGAGTCGTGGCTGAACGACGACATGGACAACATACAGCTAGCGGGCTATACGCTACATCGGCAGGATAGAACGGCTGACTCCGGTAAGACAAGGGGTGGCGGTCTGTGTATATTTGTAAACAACAGATGGTGCACAAAATCAAATACTAAGGAAGTCTCAAGGTTTTGCTCGCCTGAGGTAGAGTATCTTATGATAAGCTGTAGACCACACTATTTACCAAGATAGTTTTCATCTATATTTTTCATAGCTGTCTATTTACCACCACAAACCAATGCTGGCATTAAGATTGCACTGAATGAGCTGTATAAGGCCATAAGTGAACAGGAAAATGCTCATCCAGAGGCAGCGCTCCTAGTGGCCGGGGACTTTAATGCAGGGAAACTTAAATCAGTTCTACATAATTTCTACCAGAATGTTAAATGTGCAACCAGAGGAAAAAAAACTCTAGACCACCTTTACTCCACACACAGAGACGCATACAAAGCTCTCCCTCGCCCTCCATTTGACAAATCTGACCATAACTCTATCCTCCTGATTCCTGCTTATAAGCAAAAACTAAAGCAGGAAGCACCAGTGACTCAGTTAATAAAAAAGTGGTCAGATGACGCAGATGCTAAGCTACAGGACTGTTTTGCTAGCACAGACTGGAACATGTTCCGGGATTCTTCAGATAGCATTTAGGAGTACACCACATCAGTCACTGGCTTCATCAATAAGTGCATCGATGACGTCGTCCCCACAGTGACCGTACGTACATACCCCAACCAGAAGCCATGGATGACAGGCAACATCCGCACTGAGCTAAAAGGTAGAGCTGCCGCTTCCAAGGAGCGGGACTCTAACCCGGACGCTTATAAGTAATCCCGCTATGCCCTCCGACGAACCATCAAACAGGCAAAGAGTCAGTACAGGACTAAGATTGAAACGTACTACACCAGCTCTGATGCTCGTCAGATGTGGCAGGGCTTGAAAACTATTACAGACTACAAAGGGAAGCACAGCCGCAAGCTGCACAGTGACACAAGACTTCCAGATGAGCTAAACCACTTTTATGCTCGCTTCGAGGCAAGCAACACTGAAGCATGCATGAGAGCACCAGCTGTTCCGGATGACTATGTGATCACGCTCTCCGTAGCCAATGTGAGTAAGACTTTTAAGCAGGTCAACATTCACAAGGCCGCAGGGCCAGACGGATTACCAGGACGTGTACTCTGAGCATGTGCTGACTAACTGGCAAGAGTCTTCACTGACTGAGTCTGTAATACCAACATGTTTCAAGCAGACCACCATAGTCCCCGTGCCAAAGGACAGTAAGATAACCTGCCTAAATGACTACCGACCCGTAGCACTCACGTCTGTAGCCATGAAGTGCTTTGAAAGGCTGGTCATGGCTCACATCAACACCATTATCCCAGAAACCCTAGACCCACTCGAATTTGCATACCGCCCCAACAGATCCACAGATTATGCAATCTCTATTGCACTCCACACTGCCCTTTCCCACCTGGACAAGAGGAACACCTACGTGAGAATGCTATTCATTGACTACAGCTCAGCATTCAACACCATAGTGCCCTCAAAGCTCATCACTAAGCTAAGGATCCTGGGACTAAACACCTCCCTCTGCAACTGGATCCTGGACTTCCTGATGGGCCGCCCCCCAGGTGGTAAGGGTAGGTAACAACACATCTGCCACACTGATCCTCAACACGGGGGCCCCTCAGGTGTGCGTGCTCAGTCCCCTCCTGTACTCCCTGTTCACCCATGACTGCATGGCCAGGCACGATTCCAACACCATCATTAAGTTTGCTGACGACACAACAGTGGTAGGCCTGATCACCGACAACGATGAGACAGCCTATAGGGAGGAGGTCAGAGACCTGGCCGTGTGGTGCCAGGATAACAACCTCTCCCTCAACGTGACCAAGACAAAGGAGATGATTGTGGACTACAGGGAAAAAAAGAGGACTGAGCACGCCCCCATTCTCATCGACGGGGCTGTAGTGGAACAGGTTGAGGGCTTCAAGTTCCTTGGTGTCCACATCACCAACAAACTATCATGGTCCAAACACACCAAGACAGTCGTGAAGAGGGCACGACAAAGCCTATTCCCCCTCAGGAGCCTGAAAAGATTTGGCATGGGTCCTCAGATCCTCAAAAAATTATACAGCTGCTCCATCGAGAGCATCCTGACTGGTTGCATCACCGCCTGGTATGGCAACTGCTCGGCCTCCGACCGCAAGGCACTACAGAGGGTAGTGTGTACGGCCCAGTATATCACTGGGGCCAAGCTTCCTGCCATCCAGGACCTCTATACCAGGCGGTGTCAGAGGAAGGCCCTCAAAATTGTCAAAGACTCCAGCCACCCTAGTCATAGACTGTTCTCTCTGCTACCGCATGGCAAGCGGTACCGGAGTGCCAAGTCTAGGTCCAAAAGACTTCTCAACAGCTTCTACCCCCAAGCCACTCCTGAACAGCTAATCATGGCTACCCAAACTATTTGCACTGCCCCTGCCACCCCCACCCCATCTTTTTACGCTGCTGCTACTCTGTTAATTATTTATGCATAGTCACTTTAACTCTACCCACATGTACACATTACCTCAACTACCTCAACTAGCCGGTGCCCCCGCACATTGACTCTGCACCGGTATCCCCCTGTATATATAGCCTCCCTACTGTTATTTTATTTTACTTCTGCTCTTTTTTTCTCAACACTTTTTTGTTGTTGTTTTATTTTACTTTTTTTTATTAAAAAATAAATGCATTGTTGGTTAAGGGCTGTAAGTAAGCATTTCACTGTAATGTCTACACCTGTTGTATTCGGCGCATGTGGCCAATACAATTTGATTTGATTTGATTTATGCTAAGTGTGTAATAGTTTTTTTGTATACAGCAGTATTGTGTGACCAAGACAATTTCCCCCCAGGAGACAATAATCCTATCCTAACTAGCTTAATTGTTTTAGTCTATACATAAAGCACTATGGCAGCCATGGCAGGGAGGGCACAGAAGAATATGTGCTGTACAAGCAGGCTGTGGGGAAAAAAAGCCATACATTTACTGGAACAAAACATGTTCAATATTCATCTGTCATCTCCCATAACTGAGTACAGTGTTGTTCGAATATGATTAAAACAGATGAGCAGTAAATATGTGTAAATAAAACTAAAAACACTGATGTTTAGAAGATATTCTGACATCTTCATTTCTGAGAATACCAAGAAGAGCTGTGACATTCCTTCTCAAGCCCTATTCACTGGGTCACAGGGAACAGAGCCATTTTGATTTAAAGATTAATCTAACGGCTAGTTTGCTCTTTTTACATGATATCGTGTAGCCCTTGTTAAACCATGTATTTGGGGTAATGTTTTCCTTGAGGAAGGAGATGTGGCGAGAGAGAGAGAGAGAGAGAGAGAGAGAGAGAGAGAGAGAGAGAGAGCAGAGAGAGACGAGACGAGAGAGAGAGAGAGAGACGAGAGAAGAGAGAGAGAGAGAGAGAGAGTAGAAGAGAGAGATTGCTAGATCTCTCTGCTATCGTCTTCATCTCTCTGCTCTCCTCTCTCTCTCTCTCCTCTCATCCTCATCTACCTCTCTCTCTCTCTCTCTCTCTCTCTCTCTACTCTATCTCTATGCCATCTCTCTAGTAGATTGACATCTACGAGCTAATCTATCATCTCTAGCTAGAGAGCATTTACACACTGTGGTGTCCTCAACTCCAACCCTAGTCAGGTTCTACATGCCATAAATTAGTGCTAATGATGAGGGACATCTCACTGACTACGCTACTATTCCTGACATTACGCACTGTGTGTACCTCAAACCACAACCCTTCCAGGATTTCACTACATGCCATCAACCATTAGCATGTTATTTATGACCCACTCATTGGACAGCGTATGCCTTGAATGATGAAATGATGCTCGCTTGTACAACACGTACACACACACACCTCTCCCACTGGATTTCACCCTACCTAGCCTCACCCCGAGAGCATTTATTTTCCCCACATCATTGGCACTTTGGCCTTTGGAATGGATGTCAAATGGGATGCTCGTCTTGTAAAGGACACTGTGTACATTAAATAGGGGTCAATGGACCCGACAGGAACCCTCTCGTCTGCCTGGGATTATCCGGGAAGCTGATTGGCTAGCTGGTGGTTATGTGAATAGGTGATGTGTAGGTGATTGGCTGGCCTGTATTTCTCTTTGCAGTTGATTGGTTAGCTAGTCTGTGGTTATGTGAGTAGCTCATTACCAGTGATTGGCTAGCCTGTGGTTATGTGACTAGGTCCTTACTGGTAATTGGCTGGCCTGAGCTTCTCTCTGCAGCTGATTGGCTGGTGTGGGCTACTATATAATAATAATAATATAATAATATGCCATTTAGCAGACGCTTTTATCCAAAGCGACTTACAGTCATGCGTGCATACATTTTTTTTTTTGTGTATGGGTGGTCCCGGGGATCGAACCCACTACCTTGGCGTTACAAGCGCCGTGCTCTACCAGCTGAGCTACAGAGGACCACACTCACAACCAAGGCTACTCACATTGGCCAGCCCTCCCCGGTGGAAACGGTGAAGAGGGTGAGGAAGGCCCACAGCACGTTGTCATAATGGAACTCATACTTCCTCCACTCACGATCCTGGGCCGCCACTTCATCACGGTCATAGTCCAGAAACTTACCCCTGATGAACGATGGAGAGAGAGAGAGGGGGAGAGAGAGGAGAAAGACAGACAGAAAGAAACAGAGAAAGAGAGTAGCACAGTATCATATTATTATCTTGTAGGTAAATTGGCATGAGCTATGTTCACCCTTACAACAACAAAAAACTTGACATGTGAAAAGATGGTGTTAACATTTTGCAGTAGCTATAATTCCACTGGTGGAATTAAGGTGACCACATCTAAAAAGCCCAAATGCGAGACAGGGGAAAGATTTTGCGGGACATTCGCGGAACAATGGACAGAATAAAAATGTTGGGGGCAGGTTAATGGATCACGTTCAAATGGCGACATAGTTCTGCTGTATGAAGGTCACTGGCTGTTAAAGGGGCAATCCTTAGTTGCTACATATATTTTTGGACTTATAAATGAATCACATGAATCCATTGATTCTTGAAGAATATAACGTACAAATGTCTCATGAGCTTAGTTTAACTGTCGTACCCCATCAGCACACAAAATATACGCTTGTTTTACTCCAATGTTTGTAAACAAAGTAAATGTAAACAACCATTGTATAGCCTAAAAACACTACAATGTTGATATCATGGATGGTCAGTCCTTGCATCTATAACGTAGTCTATGGATTTGAGAGTGGTTGCATGCCTCTGAAGCTAAGCAGTGTCTCCCTGGATGGGAGACCAGATGTAGCTGGAAGTTGTGAAAAATAAACAGGTGAAAAATGAATCGCACATGAGGGGAAAACACATGAAATATTCACATGTGAAACTTCACGTGTCTGACTCATGTAAATAAAAATAAAAAAAAAATATATATATATATATATATATATATATATATATACATATATATTTAAAAATATATATTCACATGACATTTTTCAGGTGATTTGTTCACACAAGACTTTGTCATGTTTCTTTTTTGTAAGAGCATATCCAATACCAGTCAGTGTCAATACTGTGAGTGTGTAGTGTACCTGCAGTCCTTCTCCAGACCTTTAGACTCGTCGGTGCAGTAGAAGAACTTGCCCTTGAACAGCTGCACGGCGATCACAGCGAAGATGAACATAAAGAGCATGTAGACGATGAGGATGTTGAGCACGTTCTTCAGAGAGTTCACCACGCAGTCAAACACAGCCTGAAGGGGACACACACATACACATCAATACAGCCACACACAAACACATACACACAATCACGCAAACTCATTGGCATGCATGTGAACACCCATCTGCACACATACACACACACACACAGTCTCTACGCAGCACTCTGTTGATCAGTTTGTGGTTTGAATGACTGTGTCTACCTGTCATGGCATGTATGCAATCTGCCCAATGAATATGTATCAGCAGGGATGAATGAGACAGTAAATCACAGAGCTGCTCCCTGATGTAAGGTATTTTTACCTTCTAAAGACAACATGTCACTCATGTCACTCAGTCCAGGTATCTAACTGTATAAGAGTGGTTAGCTCTGGTCCAGTGCGTTATGTGCAGCTTGCTGACGCTGAGCCTTCAGCCTCAGCAAGCAGCATGTAGCGCCCTGGACCAGAGCTAGGGAGTAGTAGGTCTTACCTCCCTGCCAGCCCTGATCTATCTCAATCATCCCATCAATTACTTTAACAGGATAGGCTGCTATTTGGTCTGATCAACTACCTTCCACACATCAATTACTTTGGTCTAGTCTTTGTGAGACAAGATCGGAGCTGGGGTCCTGATAAGAGTGAGACATATTTGCATTTTTCTCATTTGTCACCGGGCAGAGGATGATAAACTGGTATACGAAGATAGACACTTGGGATATCAGTCATTACATCACGCCCACCTCTTCTCTCCCACTGATGTGATTAGCTTATTAGCTTATATCTCATACAATCACTTGGGAGATCTTAATCCACTGGCTGCTGCTGCAATTTCTGTGTGTGTGTGTGTATGTACGTTCGTGAGTGCATCCGTATATGTTTGTTTGACTTGTAACAGGTCATGGTGGAGTTAACAGGTGACAGGTGTAGCTACCTTGAGTTTTGGCAGTCGTTTGATGGTCTTCAGAGGCCTTAGAACTCGCAGCACCCTGAGAGACTTGATGGTGTTGATGTCCTTGCCTTTAGTTCCCCTGCACAGAGCAAGACTGCAGTTAGTGACTAGAGACAAAACAAAAGGAAAATGGGCATTCTGCTGTGGCCCACAGGCTCTCACCACTACCGTACCTTCTGTTCTGTCACACACACACACACACCCCAGAGAAGGTTGGTGGGAGGAGCTATAGGAGCATGGGCTCATTGTTGGAATGGAATAAATGGTACAGAGTCAAACATGTGGTTTCCATGTGTTTGATACCGTTCCAGTTATTCCATTCCAACCATTACAATGAGCCCGTCCTCCTAAAGCTCCCCCCACCAGCCTCCACTGACACACACACACAGTTTTCACTAAACTCTCTCCCTCCACACATGTATAAACCAAATATCCCTCCATCCGTGCAGTTACAAGTTCTAGTAAGGTATACTCAGCAGTTAGTCGAGTACAGTACAATAGAGTTAGTAGAGTACAGTAGAGTACAATAGAGTTAGTAGAGTATAGTAGAGTATAGTAGAGTACAATAGAGTTAGTATAGTACAATAGAGTTGGTAGAGTACAGTATAGTTAGTAGAGTACAATAGAGTACAATAGTTGGTAGAGTACATGCATGTGAGTGGATGGGTTATTCTACAGAAACATACCTACACACGGCAATAGGACTATTGAATCACATTTTAAGAGCAATTCCAAAGTGTTTCTATACAGGGAGCATTCACATAATAGGACAAAGGACTACAATACACTATCCACTGGTATTTCTGTAGAATAACACAGACATACACAGTGGTAGAAAAATATACAAAGAAACAAGCCCTGAGTCAGGGACAAGCTTCTTTGCAGGAACCACTTCTGTCCTAGCCATTGGCGCTGCTCTTGCTACAGTTGCGGGTTACAATAATTTAGAACCTGTTAGCGACAATATACAGTACCATCCTCAGGAGCCAGAAGGATTGGTCAAAAACAGTGAGTGTGGCGTCAATACAATAATCTACCAGTCCATTACTCTCACCATGGTATATTCTGTTTGTGTGTTTATTATAAGTTTACATACTTTATTGTGTGTGTGTGAGCTTGTGTGTGTGTTTGAGCGTGTGTGTGAGCATGTCTAGTGTGTGTGTGTGTGTGTGTGTATGGTCATAGCTCCTCGGCAGGTTGATAAGGCCTGCGGCTCCACACTCATCTGTAGAGAGCTCTCTAGGGTGCATCTCTCCCCCCTCTTTCCCGCTCTCCCTCCTCCTCTCTCTCCGCTCACTCAGGCAGAAATCAGTCAGTCCTCTCTGTCCATCAATATGGATGAAGCTGGAGCTTCTAAACTCAGTGTGAAATAAGGCCCAGACAGCCAGTGGAGGAGGACTAAGTGGCTCCAAAGAAGAACTGACTACTGGAAGTTGTAACCCGTCCATGATTCTGCTAGAGGGGATGAGAGAGTAACCATGCCTTTCCACTCTCAGTGGAGCACTGTGCAATGTACTGCACTATACAGTTTGGAATCATGACTTGAGGTGCATACTGAACGGAAGTACACACCTCATACTTTGGAATAAATTACACACTGCCGTCAACGGAAGATTGGCATGTAAACTGGAGCTATACAGTATGTATTCTGCACCCATCTCAAGGACTGAACCCATAATGAGTTAGTCTACTTGTATTCAGTGGACACAACTACCTTAGTAACGAGAGAAAACAGAATCATGGTTCCACACAGAATGGGCGTGTTTACTTTTTTTTACCCAATGGGAGCTTTAGGTCTAATACACTTGCATGCAACAGTCATGCTCTGAAGATCTGGTTACCCTGGCATGCAATCTGGTAAGTCAACCCCCGCCCGCGTCAATCCAGGGTCTCAACACATCTAGATGGCGAGTGAACCGTTCACCAATAGCTTTCAGAAGAGCCGTGGGCAGGAAGGATGGATGTGTGTGTGTGTGTTCACATTAAGTAGCTCAGATCAGCCCTGATATGCCTTGTGTGTGCAACTGCAGCAGCCAGACGCGAGGAGGTTATACTCGGTCACCATGACTACAGCCTTATTGGCTGCCCCTTTCCGAGAGAGAGCGCACATCATTTCCTGTTTACAGATGGGAGATCTGTCTTCCAATAATCTGCCTCCCAGTAGAACATGAGCATTACTCTCAACCTTCTGCTCTCTCTGTTGTTTCCACCCAGAAACATGATTCACTCTCCCTGATCTGCCCTTCTCACTAACTCCTTCACTATTTAAGATTATGCTCATTAAGGATGTTTGTATGTGAATTGTGACTTTCTGATGACACAGTATGTTTGTAACTATGCACAGTATAAACATATGAATATTGATTTGATATACTGTAAGTCTAATTCCAACTGTAAATGTTGGCATTGTACAACTGTCCTTTACTTTGGCATGTCGGCACACAATGGCAACAAGAGACAGAGTTGAATCTGATCAGTGATTGTCTTCTGAAAGCTACCGGGAAGAGTCTCCAATGGTTCCTCATTGGGACTGGGCTTGGTTCACTGAGAGAGTAATAGGTGGAATGGGTATCCCGCCCGGTGCAGCAGAGAGAGTGAGAGCATTGGAACGCGATGGAGGAGGTTGATAGGGGAATGTTTTTGGGGTCAGGGGTCAATGATAGAGAGAGGGTAGGTCCCCACCTGGCCACGCTTTGTTGCGATCTGATGAAGAAAAGCAATGATAAACAGGACACACTCAAACAAACACACGTCACGAATCACATCGAACAAACACAAAGCACATAAGAAATTATGGCTGCTTCGTAGAGACAAAGAAAAAGGCAGAAATATACAGAAACACTGATCAAAAGAAACACTTTAAGCCAATAATAATAATAATAATACTGTTGAACAGGCATGGCGATACAGCGGTGCTAGTTAGCCTTAAGACTTCATAAGAACATCAAAACACAGCAGAAACAGATCATGACAAGCACACGGAAGGACTTTACTAAGTTCAAGTGAAGAGCAAAAAAGAGCAGAAACCTAACATACTGAAAAAATAGTAAAAGGACAGATTTAGCTGTCCATCTTCTGTTTCTGACAAGAAGACCCACGCTGAGTTCCAAATTACACCCTATTCCCTACATAGTGCATTTTTTTTTGACCTGAGCCATATGGGCCCTGGCCAAAATAAGTGCACACATAGGTAAATGGGGTGCCATTTGGGACTGGAGGTTTTTCCAGTGAGATGGCATCAAGGAGGACAAGACATGATTTTCAAGGGCCTCCCGAGTGATGCAGCGGTCTAAGGCACTGAATCGCAGTGCTAGAGGCGTCACTACAGACCTGGGTTCGTTCCCGGACTGTATCACAACCGGCCGTGATCTGGAGTCCCATAGGGCGGCGCATAATTTGCCCAGCGTTGTCTGGGTTAGGGGAGGGTTTGGCCGTGGGGGGCTTTACTTGGCTCATCGCGCTCTAGCGACTCCTTGTGGTGGGCCGGGCACCTGCAGGCTGACCTCGGTCATCAGTTGAACAGTGTTTCCTCCGACACATTGGTGCGGCTGCGTTCCGGGTTAAGCGGGCAGGTGTTAAGAAGCGCGGTTTGGCGGGTCATGTTTCGGAGGACCCATGACTCGACCTTCGCCTCCCGAGCCCGTTGGGGAGTTGCAGCGATGAGATAAGATCGAAATCTATCTATCTGCCAGTGATGTGAGCAGCTAGGGAGAGGAAGTGTATCCTCCAGATAATCTCCCAATCAGCAGCCCAACATCCCACAGCACCAGGAGAGGAACACACATACATACCCTACTGAGCCAACATTATGGGACAACAACTACCACACACATGCATGCATGCAAACACTCACACACGTGCACATACACACACGCGGAGGTATGAACATATAGACATCCATTCACACACGCACACAGAGAACAGGCACACACACACACACACACACACACACACACACATCTCAAACGCACCTACTGTTACATGTAAAAACATCCTGTCCATGGTGAGTCTGTGTGAATTTTCAATGGAAGAGTAAATAAGTGAACATATGCAAATGGTAGAATAACAGGTAACAATTTATTTGGATAGTTGGTTTGTAGATGTTCAGTAGATGTTCAATAACTGTCAACAACATTTCAACTAACCATCCACTAAACCTAACCCTAGCCCTTAATCTAACCTTAACCCTAAACTGAACCCTAATCTTAACCCTTACCCTAACCCTTATTCTAAACCTAACCCTAACAGATAGTTTGTTGATAGTATTACCATCTGTAGATCATCTATATGGCACTATCCAAATAGGGTGTGACCGAATAATCTACAGTAATATAATGAGGGTGAATCTATAGATACGAAGCCATACAGGCTAATTAAGCAAATGGACTGAGAAATGAGCATGAGGCTGCTGGCTACATGCTGGGCATAGGCTCTGCTGACTCGGATGGACAGACAGAGAGACAGAGCGAGACAGACAGAGAGACAGAGCGCGACAGACAGAGAGACAGACAGAGACAGAAAGAGAAACAGACAAACTGGCAAGAAAGGCAAAAAAGACAAAGACAGGGAAAAAGCAGGCAATCACAAAGGCATTACCCCATGAAGCTCCTGAAAGCAATCCAAGCCACAAAAGAGAAAGATGGAGGGACAGAGTTAAAGAAAGGAGAAAAAGACAGTCAGCGACACAGAAAACCATCAATATACAGAGAGAAGAGTAGGATAGACACAACAGCAATAAAAAGGTGGTACAATTGGCTACTTCACAGGTTATTACACATTAACCCCATAATGACACCACTGGGTGCAAAATAGCTGACTGAGCTGGTTGTGGGAGAGAAAATACTATTTCCTTTTACTGGTCGGCATGCTTGAAAAGACTGTTTTTCACCTCCCTTTATTGTCTTTGTGTGTGTGTGTGTGTGTGTGTGTGTGTGTGTGTGTACTTGTGCTTGTCTGAGACTCTGAGTGTTACTTGCCATAGAAGCACCTGATGACATTCCCTCTCAGTACCAGCTGAATATTAGCACTAAGAGGAAGCCCCCCCCACCTCCCCCCCCCCAGCTTAACCGCACACTCATTAACCAAATCACACACATCCTATTACACAGATGGGAGGGGTGATTAACGGTTAAAAGAAGAGTTTGAGCAACAACCCATTTCGGCATATAACCACAGGCAAGGTGGTTTGGAGTCCCTGAGAGCTGTACGGAGAGGTTGGTTTGGGGGAATGTTTTGGGCTATGGTGGGTGAGTGAGAGCACCACTCAGACTGGCATGTTTGTAGGTGCGCCAGCAGGGAGAGTCAGTGTGTGACTGTGAGGGGGGAACCTGTGGAGGTCACAATGTAGGGGAGAGGTGCTGTTGGCTGAAACAGGATTTGAAACAGTAATAATACTGCAATCAATTTAAAGGAGGCAATCTGGGATTGGTACATACATTTTTGGACTTATAAATTAAGTTTCTAAATTTCTCCTTTCCTCATTCCTCAGCTGTTTACCAAAACAAGTGGTGAGGTGACTGCTGTTTGGTTTTTCGAATCCCAGATTGCCCCTTTAACCCCACCTACAGCTGGCATAGGAAAGCCGTACTCACGAGCAAGCGAACGCCACCAGAGCTCCGCTGACCACAATAAAGTCCAGGATGTTCCACAGGTCGCGGAAGTAAGAACCAGGATGGAGGAGCAGTCCCAGGTCTATCATCTACACACAGAGTTAAAGTCATGAGGAAGATGATCCACATTATGAATGTAAATGGGTGAATGTTACCACTCCAATACGGAGCCCTGATCTTGGATATACTGTAATACCAATGCTACCGCAGTGGCTTTGCATGCTAGCAGTACTTAAAAAGAAACCAGATATTTATTATCTTCCTTCCACCTTGAGGCAGCATTGTAGTGGAGCTATTTCTAGCTGCAACCTAAGAGAGTACCCTCTGTGTGTGCTATTCAAACTGAGGAAACTGTTGTATGTCCATTTCCAACAATTTCACCAGTATGACCTCTCACCTTAATCACCATCTCAAAGGTGAACACTCCTGTGAAGATGTAGTCCAGATACTTGAGCACCTGCAAGAGGACAGAGGAAATATGATGGTGAGAAAGTATTGAATGTTCAGTCAGATGTCACACAGCCTGTCTTCTTTCCTCTTCCTCAAGACACACAGCAGGCAATCACCTTAGCAGCACTCATCTCATAGTTATTACTAATTTTGTTTCTGTAGCACTCTCATACAGTCTAACTGTCAGGTGATATTAGCAGAAATTCTAGAAGCTTCTGGCAGCTCAATCAGGCCTAATGAATCAGCTAGTCAGTCAGTCGGACTGAGGGGGTTGTGGGATTTGGAGGCAATTCCTATAGCGCTAGTAGGGACTGCTCCTCAGGCCTCTGTACCCAAATACCCAACAGCCCAGTGTGTGTGTGTGTGTGTGTGTGTGTGTGTGTACTCGTGTGGGTGTGTACTCTTGCAGGACTCACGTTGTTGCGTGGTGCATTGGCCTGCACAGGGTCCTCTGCAGCCAGGGCTATGCTGCTCATGGTGATAACTGACAGGATACACATCTCAAAGTAACGCAGGTTCACCACGTAGTGGCACAGCCGACGCACCCTGAGCAGTACAGCACAGATCATCTCACTGAGTGCACTCAACATACCCTCCCAAAACGCTAACATAATACTGAGTTGGACTCAATATCGAAATGCAGAAACAGTTATTGCCCAGACTAGTCTTACAGCATTTACAGGTAGTGTTATAGGTAGAATCACAGCATTGTTATACTGTACATAATATGAGCAAGATAAATTAGAGCCAACAGGTTCCCTGTCTCAGGACCTGACTTACAGGTTGGTCTGTCCAAACACAAACATGGAGCTGTAGGGGAGAATGTGTTTGGGGCCGTTCTTCAGCTCCTCCTCCAAGTCCTTCTTCTCCTCGTTCAGGGGGAGGCTCTCACAGTCTATGTTATTCACTATCAGACAGAGAGCGAGAGCCAGAGCGAGAGCGAGAGCGATTACACTCAGAGAAAGAACTCATGACAGGCCTCCACTACAACATAACCAACCCACAGCTGATCAGTCATACTAACCTGATGTTACACCAGCCTATGGCTAAGAGGAACATAACACAGTGGGGAACTGACTAGGGTACGGACTGGGGAACTGCCTGGGGAACTGACTAGGGTACGGACTGGGGTACAGACTGGGGTACGGACTGGGGTACAGACTGGGGTACGGACTGGGGAACTGCCTGGGGTACTGACTGAGGTACAGACTGGGGTACTGACTGAGGTACAGACTGGGGTACTGACTAGGGTACTAACTAGGGTACTAACTAGGGTACTGCCTGGGGTACTGCCTGGGGTACTGACTAGGTACAGACTGGGGTACAGACTGGGGCACTGACTAGGGCAGGGGTTTTCAAACTCGGGTCCGCGGCCCCCCTAGGGGTTGTGGGGATTTTTTTGTATGTGAAAAATAATTATTTTATAAATATCACTAGCTGCAACAGAATACCATCATGGTCACCATTTTTATGTCACTGTGTCCAGCATGAAGGAAGTTAGAGGTAGTTGCACTAGCCCATGCTAACTGGGCTTAGTGCAATGATTGGAAGCATACAGGAACAGTTAGCATGCAAGCTGTTCCTGTTCATCCGACTCTGGGGAACTATCCCTTTAATATGGAGGAAATTACAGTCATTGGAGCTAATTACTGGGGGGTTTTAAGTTGCAATTTACGGGATGGAAAAACTATTTCAGTGTCAACTTAAACGACCAAAACCAGATAGAAAGCACGCAAAAAAGATGATGAACTATATTTTTTCATAATACCATCTTTGAGAACAAATAATCAAATAAAAGCTAGACAGTCAAAAAAACGAACATTTCTTTTTTAGAAAAAGGCATTCGGGGCACATGTCCATTGATTTTGTTCTACTGTTTGAGCAGAGGAACACAGCATTAGCCATGGCAAATGTATAGAATTGCAGGAAATTAGCTTAAAAATGGCAAAATTGTCTCTCAGGTCCATGCCAAAGTGTGTAGAATTTCTGAAAATTGGCTTCAAAACTGCAAAATGTTCTCTAAGTTCAATGGGAAAATGTGTAGAATTGCAGAAAATTTGCATTACAACAGCAACACTTTCTCTACGCCGCCAAGATACCTTTCTTGCTAATAGACTATGTTAGAGTTCACACTTTCTCTTCCAATGAACTGTGGAGAGGTCAGAATAATGCAACTGTTTATCAGATCTATTCATTTTAATCTAATGTTGATTACTTCTACTTGCCATTATCATTCACAATTTTTTTGGCTAACATATGATGGAGGTCCCTGGGTCGCTGGTTTACCTGGGCGGTGGTCCCTGGGCAAGAAAAGTTTGAAAACCCCTGGACTAAGGTACAGACTAGGTACAGACTAGGTACTGACTAGGTACAGACTAGGGTACTGACTGGGTATGATGGCGGTCTCTCTGGACGGGGCGGTGATGGTGACAGGGATGTGGACAGTGTTGCTGTTCAGGCCTGCCTGGCTGGCTCTGTGGCTGTTCTTCTGGTTGTCAGCATCCTCTTGCTTCTCTCCAGCCTGCAGACCTGCAGGAGGCTGAACAGGACTGGTGGGCAAGCTCTCCCCTTGAGAGTCGGTCTGCCTGTCCCTGCAAAACATTCAAAACACAGCCAGTGCACATCAGTGAAGCTCTGCGGTGATGACTTAGTAAAAAGAGGTAATTAAAGCACATTGAGAATGTGTTGGTCAGTCAGCACTGGTCTCACCTGTGTCCTTGGTCTCTGTCTCCATTTCTCTCTCCGTTCTCTCTGCATTTGTCTCCATCCAGTGTTGACTGGGCCCTGACCATGCGTGAGCGGTGCTTCCTCCTCTCTCCGTTCTCCTCCCTGTGGCCCCGGCCCCTGCTCTCCCCTCTGTCCCCGTTATCCAGGGCCCCGTTCCCCTGTCTGTAGGAGTGGTGGGGGCGGTCCTCCCTTTCCTTTCCCCCTCCATCAACCCCGTCCTCTGGGGATCCAGCCTGGTGATGGTGCCTGTGGCCCTGCCCCCCCTCTCGACTACGGCTCCTCTCCCCCTTGCCCTCTTTGGACAGGGGCCCATCTGGGTGGTCGTGGTCCCTACTGCGGCTGTGGTGGATGTGATGCCTGCTCTCACCATTCTCCCCGTTTCTCTCCCGGTGATGGTGGTGCTTGCGGGGCTGTGGGCTGTGGGGGTCTCCTCCCTCTTGCTGGGGGTCTGCTCCGTCTCTGACCTCCTCGGGGTGCCGGAGTTTGTCCCCGCTGCCTGGCTCCATCACTAGTGGGCGGTCGTTGTGGGTCTTCATGTCGGGGCGCAAGTGGAGGGCGGAGGAGACACGCAGGCGCTCCTCGGGGTCCAGCTCGTTGAACAGAGCCTCGGAGCTGGCCCTCAGGTTGTTTCGGCGCAGCTGGTTGGTGCGCTGCTCCCACACCGACATCATCTTATTGGCTCTCTGCTGCTCCTTACTGCAGGGCCGGTGAACAGGGGAGGGGAAGGGAGATGAGGGGGGAGAGGGATACATGGTGTTAGTTAGAGTAAAGTAGCAGCTCACCTGTAGCTCTCCTATTTTGGCGTCAATGGTGTTTAAGAAAACATTGTCATCCATAGCACAACCATCTTTTGCTATCAACCCATGAGCATCTAAGCTTCACAACTTGCACACAAAACAAATCTCTAATTTCTCCATTATGGTCTGAGTTGCTGTCCAAACAACAGTGGGACTTTGCTGGCTGGGGACACAAGATGGTCTTCATGGATGTGGAAAGAAGTAGAAGGTGCTCACCCAACATGAGTAGAAGTGCAACCTAAACATTTGCAGACATCATTGGACAGGAAAAGGCGCAACGCTCGCTTCACCATAAAAAATACGTCGTTTTATTAGGCAAGTTTAAAAGATTGACGTTTCGGCCTTCTATGGCCTTCTTCAGAATAATCACAAAGGGAATGGACAAGTTCATAAAGGGCGTGCCATAGTAAATGCTCACCATAGTAAACTTGTCATTTACCATGCTTGGGTTTAAACATGCTCACCCATGGGCTGCATCTGAAATGGCACCCTATATAGTGCACTACTTTTGACGAGAGCCCTGGTCAAAAATAGTGCACTTTGGAATAGGGTGGTGCCATTTGGGATGCCCCCTGGCCATGTTTGGACCAGAAGCGCCACGGTTCCCTGTGGGACCACAGTTACCATAGTGATGCTTTTCTGTGAGGTCTAAAAGGCATGTGAGAACATGTGATGGGTTGCATTAGGGATGTCATTTTCTCCTTGCATATGCTTTCTGTTTCATCGATTCATCTGAGTTAGTACTGTAGATGGCAACAGTTGAGGATGACAATTCTCCAGTATTGTGAGCAGCCAGTCCTGACCTGCATAATGGAGGCAGCCAGCTTTAATCTCCACCCAATCACACCAGCAGCTGAAAATACCTCACATGTTGACCTCCTAGTTCCTTTACTCTCTAAATAGTAAGCTACAGTGGCTTGCGAAAGTATTCACCCCCCTTCGCATTTTTCCTATTTTGTTGCCTTTTTTGGTGGTTTGTATCATTTGATTTACACAACATGCCTACCACTTTGAAGGTGCAAAATATTTTTTCTTGTGAAACAAACAACAAATAAGACAAAAAAACTGAAAACTTGAGCGTGCATAACTATTCACCCCCCCAAAGTCAATACTTTGTAGAGCCACCTTTTGCAGCAATTACGGCTGCAAGTCTCTTGGGGTATGTCTCAATAAGCTTGGCACATCTAGCCACTGGGATTTTAGCCCATTCTTCAAGGAAAAACTGCTCCAGCTCCTTCAAGTTGGATGGGTTCCACTGGTGTACAGCAATCTTTAAGTCATACCACATATTCTCAATTGGATTGAGGTCTGTGCTTTGACTAGGCCATTCCAAGACATTTAAATCTTTCCCCTTAAACCACTCGAGTGTTGCTTTAGCAGTATGCTTAGGGTCATTGTCCTGCTGGAAAATGAACCTCCGTCCCAGTCTCAAATCTCTGGAAGACTGAAACAGGTTTCCCTCAAGAATTCCCTGTATTTAGCGCCAGTTTCCCAGTCCCTGCCGATGAAAAACATTACATTTACATTTTACATTTTAGTCATTTATCAGACGCTCTTATCCAGAGCGACTTACAGTTAGTGAATACATATCTTTTTATACTGGCCCCCCGTGGGAATCGAACCCACAACCCTGGCGTTGCAAACGCCATGCTCTATCAACTGAGCTACATCCCTGCCGGCCATTCCCTCCTCTACCCTGGACGACGCTGGGCCAATTGTGCGCCGCCCATGAGTCTCCCGGTCGCGGCCGGCTGCGACAGAGCCTGGATTCGAACCAGGATCTCTAGTGGCACAGTTAGCACTGCGATGCAGTGCCTTAGACCACTGCGCCACTCAAGATGATGCTGCCACCACCATACTTCACTGTGGGGATGGTGTTCTCGGGGTGATGAGAGGTGTTGGGTTTGCGCCAGACATAGCATTTTTCTTGATGGCCAAAAAGCTCAATTTTAGTCTCATCTGACCAGAGTACCTTCTTCCATATGTTTGGGGAGTCTCCCACATGCCTTTTGGCGAACACCAAGCGTGTTTGCTTATTTTTTTCTTTAACCTCTCTTGGCAGGTTTGTTGTGGTGCCATATTCTTTCAATATTTTAATAATGGATTTAATGGTGCTCTGTGGGATGTTCAAAGCTTCAGAACAGGACAAATGGGGCTGGATTTTGACAAAGGCTAGGTTTTACATGACCTTAACACCAAGGCCAAAATCTGGTGAATTAATATGAAGATGGGAGGGAAATATAGATTTCAAGGGAAGTAACCCTTTGTTCCTCCTGTCACGGGATATCGTATCGTATCATGATCCGAAGGAATCATTTCAATGATGGTTTCTATGTACACATGATTTTAGATGTTTTTGAATCTGTGTGTACAGTATGAATGTACGTGTAGACTTATGTAAAGTTGCATCCTTTGTGTCACCTGTACCTCAAGACTCGACGGGGAGTAGATCAAACTCCTAAAAGATGACAGCATAGTAAGACAGACAAGAAAAGCAATAGACAGACAGACAAGTATGCAAGACATAGACAAATAAGACATATCAGCGACAAACGGACATGTAAGCTGTGATTTTGGTATAAGAGAGAGATTACAGTGGACAAGAAAGAAACATACACACACACACACACACACACAGACTAGCAACAACAGCACCACACCACAATGTTTAGAAATAAGAGTTGCTACTAACAAATGATCAAGACGTGTCAGGTAAGCAGCAAAGCCAAATTCATGTAATCTCAAAGAGGTCAGAGGTTAAATCCACAAAATGCTATGTTTCACTTTATTTGATTTGTCTAGTATGGCAGACTACCACTTGGCTACTGTACTATATTTAGTTTAGCCCTCACTCATAGTGTGTTGAAGAAGTGAAACCCCGGGGCACAAAAAACACAAGCTGTAAAACTGACAAAGTGTCTTGGGAATTGACTGAGCTCAGAGACATTCAATATATATATAGGAATTATTCACTCTAAAGCTCAGGTTAAACTCTCATCACTTCAGGCGTCAACACAGTGCAGACGAAAGCTGGCGCTATGCACAATGACATATTCAGTATTCAGCAACACACACACTCAGTCACACACACACACATACACACACATTTTCACACATGCATTTACACTCACGTATTATTATGTTAAATCTCACTCTATAGTGAGAGCCACCAGTGAGCCACCAGTGGGTTCTCCAGTTTCAAGCGTATCTCAACACTCTGGGAGGACTGGGAGGATCACAAGGATGGAGAGAGTGATGAATAGAGGGATCGGAAGGCTAGGAGGAGGAGGGGAAAGAAGAGATGGGGAAGTGGATGGGGGTGAGGTAGAGGGGGGTTCAGAATTGGAGAGAGGGGAAAGGAGAGGGGGAGCAGAAGGAGGCGGATATGGGGGAGAAGACGGGGAAGGGGAGGAGAGGGGGTAGAAATAGTGTAACAGAGAGCAAAAACTCACGGTGAATGTACGCTGGAGACGGACGAGCTGCGAGAAAGTGCATCTCGATTTTGCTTTACAAAACTGCACATTCAGAACAAAAACAAAAAAACAAACAAAAGAAAGGATGAGACACAAACCAAAAGGATGTGGTGGGGAGAGGTGGACGGCAGTTAAACTACTCCATAAAGTGTCTGTCCACCTTTTCCCTCCACGAACAAGAAGGACTAGTCCATCAGAGCTACAACTACAGTAGTGGTTAACACTTCAGCAGTAGGGGTAGTGTACAGTATACAGTAAAGATAGTTTGTAGTACTGTACTTTGTAGTACTGTACACCCCACACTGTTACATACTGTGGTCAAGTGACTACGAGGGGTGCAAATATTTATTGATACTAAACCCCTTCACTGAAGTGTTACCAAAAGACATAAAACTGACAACTTTCGGAAGAAATAACACTCAAGTCAACGTAATGAGAGAAAAAGTGGATTCACAAAGTTCAATACACAATGGGTTTACAAAGCCTTTCAAACTGTAAGAGTGAATTTTTCAATCAAATAGACAATGGTCTTTGTTAAATAAACATCATGATTACTTTTGTGAATAAAATATGATTATGGATTCACTTAATCAAAAGTAAAAAGGTTTGTAAAACTGCACATTACACAGATATCTAAACTAAAACGTTTCCTCAGAAATGGCCTGCATCAACACAGCTTTGAAATAGACTGACAAATGAAACTCACTACGTTTTAATCATTCTATGTTACAAAGATCAAAATGAAGATAAAAGCACAGATAAAACAAGAGGCTATTTATGGCAAATCCATCTTCAAAAGCAATCATCAGGATTGATGCAGTAGGCTACTGTCAATCTAAAATGTGTTTATTCATTATTAATCTTGGTTGACTAAGAACTAAAATAGTGTGTAATTTGGTCATCTGTCCATGAAAGATGAATTCATTATTTCAATGATTTGTTTTCTGAAACTAACCACCATTCTGACCTAGGCACGTATCCACAATGCGTCTCAAAGTAGGAGTGCTGATCTTGGACCAGGTCCCTCCTATCCATATCATCTTATTCAAACTGATCCTAAATCAGAACTGCTACTCTGAGGGTCTTTATCAATACGTGCCCTGGTCATTGGGCTCACAGTCAGGACAAAGAGGCCATGTCATAAACATCTAATAGATGATGTGTCCCACCTGGGCTGAGACTGACATTACTGATGCATTGTCATGTACAAACCAATTACTTATTGACCGTCAAAATGTTTTGTCAATATTCTTTATAGAGTACTGTTGTCAATACTGCTCATCTTTACCTACTACATAATGGCATCCCTAATGCTGAAAATGACACTATTAATTAATTAGACCTAAAGCCAATTCCAGTGGGGAGAGGGCGTGGCTGCTTGGTTAGATACAGTAAATAGGTTATAGGAGATCGCTGATGTTGACAATGTTCTGATTGACTCCATCAGACTCTAATGCATGAATCAGTTATATTGATGTTCACTAAATGAGTGAAAGGCCAATGAGAGAAACTAATGCTGATTGGAGATCAGTTTCAGATCAAGCATCCACTCCTGTCAGTATCTGATTGGTAATGTATCCCAAATGGCACTTATAGGGAATTTAATACGCTGCCTGGGTCACCTCTTCCACCTGGGAGGAGGATAACAGAGGGGCTCCCAGTTCTGTAAGACAATCATGACCAACATTAAAATCCCATTGGGGGGGATATTGCCATAGACGGGGGAAAGAGAAGGATCGTCGTCAAAGCACACACACACGTAGACAGAAACATGTCAATTGTGTAGTTAGGAGAATGCAAATGGACAGAGGCAATAATCACAACAGAGACACATTGAGAGACAGTAATCAGAGCCAAGACACCAACATCAACAACAATAGCACATTGACTAAGGGCAGAACCAGCTATATCTGATACTTCACAATAGAGTGACAGGCTGGTGTCAGATTGGGAGGGCACACGGGAGAGACCATGTTTGGAGAACATGGGGGGGGGGGGGGGGGGGGGGACTTACGCAGCGATTGAGATGTTGGCTGCTGACATGGGGCTGACCTCCTTCACCTCCATGGCCTTCTGCAGGGCCAGCTTCTTATTGGCTTCTTCCTCCTGCTTCTCCTCATCCTGGACCAATAAACCAGAAGGGATGGGTAACCAAGGGTAATGTTATTCAGAATTGTTTTTTAAAAGTTCCCTGGGTAGAATGTGGTTTCTTGGGTTCCTCAGCCTTACCTTGGTGAGCTCCTGTGCATTGGCAAGGTTGTCGACGGCGATAGCCAAGAAGACGTTCAGGAGCGTGTCTGGTTGGAACTAAGCTCAGGAAAAATCTTGACACGACTTTAGTGGCTTTCACGGCTGAACAGTAGTGCATTACAACCAAACATTTTGAACATCAGCAACAAACTGGATGTGGTGGAAATGTGTGGTGGAAATGGCCAGAATTCACTGGGGGATCCCTCCTAAGGGGGTTCAGGGGCATGCCCATCCCCGACTGAAATAATTTGTCAAAGTTTACAGCTCTCATTGCAGCACTTGACATGATATATTTATATTTCACTGTATGAATATTTCATGCAGATTAAATCTCTGATATCCATGCAGGGGTACGACTCGGAGAGTCAAAGAGGATACAGTTTCCAAAGAGTGTGAGGACGATGAAGTAGACTGAGGAGAACATTCCCTGCCGTACGCCCCCCTGGGACTCAATGCCATGATACATCACTGCATTCCAATCCTCGCCAGTCAAAACCTGCCGTTGGCCGTTGAGATAGAAATAGAAAATATTGTTTTCTGGGGAGTGGCTCAGTGTAAGAGATGAAGAATAACAATATTTAGTTATACAGTAGGGTCAAAAGTTCAACAATGAATACTTTTAATAAAAGTATAACACAGGCTAACAGAAAGATTAGTCATTTGGAGAGAAAGAGACAAAAAGTACACAGACCACCAAATTCCACTAATTACAAATTATCTTTGATCAAAACACAATTCTTTCTTCTAGTCCAACATTCCGAAGGATAGAGCTCCAGAGTGAAAGGCCAAATTAGTTAGTTCATTAAATGGAGAGAAGGACAGACAGAGTGTACCTGGAAGACAGTGAGAATGGCAGCCGGGAAAGTATCAAAGTTGGTCGTCGGTGTCTCTTCTTCAAAATTAAACCTTGAATAAAGAACAATGGACAGTTTGAGTCAAATAGAAGACGTTTGGCCTGAGCGAGGACAGACAGGACGTTCAGAATCAGATACATGGGCTTCCATCTACATGTAGGTTGGAGTGTAGTGACTTTCATGGTCACAGCAGATGAAATGTGTAAAGCCATTATAATTGCATTTGCAGTCATTGAATATGCTACATTAACCCTGAATTACTGAAAGTTTGCCAACTGACATCAACTGGCAGAAATACTCTTCTCCAAAATATAAACAGTTATAACTAATTCAACGCAACAACAGAGTTCCATCCTGTTGTTCATCAGTACACATACAAATAGTATGCGCACTCTAGGCACTGCCCCCCACCCCTACCCCCCACCCCATCTTTTCACGCTGCTGCTACTCTGTTAATTATTTATGCATAGTCACTTTAACTCTACCCACATGTACATATTACTTCAACTACCTCAACTAGCCGGTGCCCCCGCACATTGACTCTGCACTGGTACCCCACTGTATATATAGCTTCACCACTGTTATTTTATTTTCTCAACACTTTTTTGTTGTTGTTTTATTTTACTTTTTTTATTAAAAATAAATGCACTGTTGGTTAAGGGCTGTAAGTAAGCATTTCACTGTAATGTCTGCACCTGTTGTATTCGGCGCATGTGGCCAATAAAATGTGATTTGATTTGTAAGCTTCAATACATGTTTTCTATGCATCGGAAGGATTCCATCAACACACCCACACATTACGACAACATGCATATAGAAACACTGCACTGAACAATGACTTATTTCCTTGACTGTCATTGTTTGAGTGGTTTCTTTACGTAGATGACAGGACCTTTGCCCAAGAACACCAAGGTAACCTGCCTAAACGACTACCGACCCGTAGCACTCATGTCTGTAGCCATGAAGTGCTTTGAAAGGCTGGTCATGGCTCACATCAACACCATCATCCCAGAAACCCTAAACCCACTCCAAATCGCATACCACCCCAACAGATCCAAAGATGATGCAATCTCTATTGCACTCAACACTGCCCTTTCCCACCTGGACAAAAGGAACACCTCTGTGAGAATGCTGTTCATTGACTACAGCTCAGCGTTCAACACCATAGTGCCCTCAAAGCTCATCACTAAGCTAAGGACCCTGGGACTAAACACCTCCCTCTGCAACTGGATTCTGGACATTATGACGGGCCGCCCCCAGGTGGTAAGGGTAGGCAACAACACATCTGCCACACTGACCCTCAACACAGGGGCCCCTCAGGGGTGCGTGCTTAGTCCCCTCCTGTACTCCTTGTTCACCCATGACTGCGTGGCCAAGCACGACTCCAACACCATCATTAAGTTTGCCAACGACACAACGGTGGTAGGCTTGATCACCGACAACAATGAGACAGCCAATAGGGAGGAGGTCAGAGGCCTGGCAGTGTGGTGCCAGGACAACAACCTCTCCCTCAACGTGATCAAGACAAACAAGATAATCGTGGACTACAGGAAAAGAAGGGCCGAGCACGCTCCCATTCTCATCGACGGGGCTGTAGTGGAGCAGGTTGAGAGCTTCAAGTTCCTTGGTGTCCACATCACCAACAAACTATCATGGTCCAAACACACCAAGACAGTCGTGAAGAGGGCACGACAACACCTATTCCCCCTCAGGAGACTGAAAAGATTTGGCATGGGTCCTCAGATCCTCAAAAAGTTATACAGCTGCACCATCGAGAGCATCCTGACTGGTTGCATCACCGCCTGGTATGGCAACAGCTCGGCCTCCAACCGCAAGGCGCTACAGAGGGTAGTGCGTACGGCCCAGTACATCACTGGGGCCAAGCTTCCTGCCATCCAGGACCTCTATACCAGGTAGTGTCAGAGGAAGGCCCTAAAAATTGCCAAAGACTCCTAGTCATAGGCTGTTCTCTCTGGTACCGCACGGCAAGCGGTACCGGTCTAGGTCCAAAAGGCTTCTTAACAGCATCTACCCCCAAGCCATAAGACTGCTGAACAGCTAATCAAATGGCTACCCAGACTATTTGCATTTTTTTACGCTGCTGCTACTCACTGTTTATTATCTATGCATAGTCACTTCACCCCTACCTACATGTACATATTACCTCAATTACCTCGACTAAACTGTACCCCCGCACATTGACTCGGTACCGGTACCCCCTGTATATAGCCTCATTACTGTTATTTTATTGTTGCGCTTTTATTTTTTACTTTAGTTTACTTAGTAAATATTTTTCTTAAAACAGCATTGTTGGTTAAGGGCTTGTAAGTAAGCATTTGACGCTAAGGTCTAGACCTGTTGTATTCGGCGCATGTGACAAATAAAATTTAATTTGATTTGATTTGACAGTATGATGTACACATAATTAGGAGGAGCAAGTTCAAGTCCCAGGCATTCACATTGTTAATGTACCTTCTTACAGTTACATTACAGTCTCTCTCTCTATCTCTCTATCTAACTCTCTATTTCAAACTTGCTCTTTGAAACCTTTACACACACACTCTTACACACACCAACACAACCTTGTATAGTGTTTTACACAGGTACTTTTATTTATTTATTTTACCTTTATTTAACTAGGGAAGTCAGTTAAGAACAAATTATTATTTACAATGACGGCCTACACTGGCCAAACCCGGACGATGCTGGGCCAATTGTGCGCTGCCCTATGGGACTCCCAATCACGTCCGGTTGTGATACAGCCTGGAATCGAACCAGGGGTCTGTAGTGACGACTCAAGCACTGAGATGCAGTGCCTTAGACCGCTGCGCCACTCGGGAGTTCTAGAGTTCTGAGAGCATTTGGGGATCGACCCAAACACTGTGCATTCCCCTGAGAACAGCCTCAATTCGTCGCAGAATGGACTCTACAAGGTGTCCAAAGTATTCCACAGGGATGCTGGCCCATGTTGACTCCAATGCTTCCCACAGTTGTGTAAAGTTGGCTGGATGTCCTTTGGGTGGTGGACCATTCTTGATGCACACGGGAAAATGTTGAGGGTGAAAAACCAAGCAGTGTTGCAGTTCTTGACATAAACCAGTGCGCCTGGCACCTACTACCATACCCCGTTCAAAGGCACTTACAGTAGCTTGCGAAAGTATTCACCCCCCTTGGCATTTTTCCTATTTTGTTGCCTTACAACCTGGAATTAAAATTGATTTTTTGGGGGGGTTTGTATCATTTCATTTACACAACATGCCTACCAATTTGCAGATGCAATTTTTTTTTATTGTGAAACAAACGAGAAATAGGACAAAAAAACAGAAAACTTGAGCTTGCATAACTATTCCCCCCCCCCCAAGTCAATACTTTGTAGAGCCACCTTTTGCAGAAATTACAGTTGCAAGTCTCTTGGGGTATGTCTCAATAAGCTTGGCACATCGAGCCACTGGGATTTTTGCCCATTCTTCAAGGCAAAACTGCTCCAGCTCCTTCAAGTTGGATGGGTTCTGCTGGTGTACAGCAATCTTTAAGATATACCACAGATTCTCAATTGGATTGAGGTCTGGGCTTTGACTAGGCCATTCCAAGACATTTAAATGTTTCCCCTTAAACCACTCGAGTGTTGCTTTAGCAGTATGGTTAGGGTCATTGTCCTGCTGGAAGGTGAACCTCGATCCCACTCTCAAATCTCTGGAAGACTGAAACAGGTTTCCCTCAAGAATTTCCCTGTATTTAGCGCCATCCATCATTCCTTCAATTCTGACCAGTTTCCCAGTCCCTGCCGATGAAAAACATTCCCACAGCATGATGCTGCCACCACCATGCTTCTCGGGGTGATGAGAGGTGTTGGGTTTGCGCCAGATATAGTGCTTTCCATGATGGCCAAAAAGCTCAATTTTAGTCTCATCTGACCAGAGTACCTTTCTTCCATATGTTTGGGGAGTCTCCCACATGCCTTTTGGCGAAGACCAAACGTGTTTGCTTATTTTTTTCTTTAAGCAATGGCTTTTTTATGGCCACTCTTCCGTAAAGCCCAGCTCTGTGGAGTGTATGGCTTAAAGTGGTCCTATGGACAGATACTCCAAACTCTGCTGTTGAGCTTTGCAGCTCCTTCAGGGTTATCTTTGGTCTCTTTGCCTGGTCCATGAGCTTTGGTGGGCAGCCCTCTCTTGGCAGGTTTGTTGTGGTGCCATATTCTTTCCATTTTTTAATAATCTTTTTTTATTTTTATAACCCAACCCTGATCTGTACTTCTCCACAACTTTGTCCCTGACCTGTTTGGAGAGCTCCTTGGTCTTCATGGTGCCGCTTGCTTGGTGGTGCCCCTTGCTTAGCGGTGTTGCAGACTCTGGAGCCTTTCAGAACAGGTGTATATATACTGAGATCATGCGACAGATCATGTGACACTTAGATTGCACACAGGTGGACTTTATTTAACTAATTATGTGACTTCTGAAGGTAATTGGTTGCACCAGATCTTATTTAGGGGCTTCATAGCAAAGGGGGTGAATACATATGCACACCACTTTTCCATTATTTATTTTTTCGAATTTTTGGAAACAAGTTATTTTTTCATTTCACTTCACGAATTTGGACTATTTTGTGTATGTCCATTACATGAAATCCAAATAAAAATCCATTTAAATTACAGGTTGCAATGCAACAAAATAGGGAAAACGCCAAGGGGGATGAATACTTTTGCAAGGCACTGTAAATATGTTGCTTGCCCATTCACCCTCTGAATGGCACACAAACACAATTAATGTCTCATTTGTCTCAGGGCTTAAAAATCCTTCTTTAACCTGTCTCCTCCCCTTCATCTACACTGATTGAAGTGGATTTAACAAGTGACATCAATAAGGGAGCATAGCTTTCACCTGGATTCACCTGGTCAGTCTATGTCATGGAATGAACAGGTGTCCTTAATGTTTGTATACTCAGTGTATATAAATGCATGTCCAAATAAGCATTATTGTCTATGGCCGTAGAAATGCATATGACATATTATGCATGTGTGTCATTTAAAATGGGCATTCAGGATGGGCTTTCTCAATGCTGAGTTGTGCTTTCCCGTTCCCTTTGAATGCTCAAAAATTCTGACGAGGTTACACGATAACTCCAATGAGTAATTACAAAGATATTCCTAGATAGACTTGCAATGTACACTTAAGAAATTGGTTTGCTAGAGACAGCACTGGTGTGAGTGGAAGAGCATTAGAATGGAAGTGATGGGGAAGTGTGAGGAGAAGAGCATCAGAGGAAGTTAGGCATGGGATGGTTTGATGGGAAGGAGGGCACATAGGGTTATCACAGTTACCAGCTCTATAAACAACTCCTCATGAACCCTGCTTAGAGAGCCGGTGGTAGTGGTGTGTGTGTGTGTGTGTGTGAGATATTAAGTATGGGTGTGGTAAATTGTAGATTGTCCACCTGCAGATATGCAGCCTTTTCCCTTGTTCCCTTTCTCTCTCTAGGTTGGCACACTGATGGCAGTGGCGGCAGAATGCTCTGGTGCCGCTGTGCAGACCTCCACAGTGTTTACTCTGATAATAGGGATTGGATGTTGTTGTTTCGCCCCCCCAAGGCATCTACAGAGACTTCATTAAATCAATTCTCAAACAGAGGCTTGTGAGAGGCTCTGATACACTGCGATGGATTCTGCCACCCCCTCCCCCACCCCCACCCCCTGAGACAATAGCTCTGCTCTGTGGAGAATGGGAGGAATATGCTCTAGTTTACAACGAGAAGGGAACGCAGGCGTTGGATCGGCTTCCATTAAAATGTGTTGAATTTAGAGTGCGGTCACAGTCCTCTCGACTAGAGTATTGAGAGGCTCCCTGAAGCACATGAGGGATTCAATACAAAGCACACCTATAAAACACCATCTCTATCTAATAGAGGAATTAATAATAACATGTTTATATCTAACATGAAAACCACACAATAACCTATATAACCAATGAGAGTGAAGTTTTTAAGACAAAAGGGCAATACTTTTCCATGTGGACCAAATAGGCCTACCACTGGGCAAACATTTGGTTGGATCTAAAAACAATTCCCTTGTTATTTTAGCTTACTTTATCAATGGAATGAAGTTGCATCAAAGTTGGCAGGTTCCAACAAGTGAATAAAAACGAATATTAAACACAAGCCCAAAAAAACTAATTTCTACAACATTATCTTTCTATCCTCCCCATTGTTGATATTATCATTTGATTAGAGCTTTTCATAAATCCCCTGCAGGCAATTATGTCCTGCAGACATTCAAATCCCTGCGGAGCAGAAGACTGCTCTCTTAAACCGTTTACTTTCCCGTCCTCCCTGGATTTTATTGAGAGATTTGTCTGGGGCTGGCTGATAGGGATGCAACCTCTGCAGTGTATAATCAACTCAATCATTCACTGGCTGAGCTCAAATATAGAAGTTTATTAATGCCTTTTCTCTGTCGCCCATGTCTTTTCACAAGGAGTCGGAACACAGGTGATTATAGGAAAAAGAACAATGGATTCAGACTCTCATCACATGATAGGCATGAGGCCCAACAGCTGAGCACCATGTGCACATCAGAGTGTTTTCACACATATCCATCAGCCTAGACTGATGTGGCCATTATGATGGAACAGCCAGTTTAAATTGAGCATGGGACCATGCCTATCCAAATAGCCCAATGGGAGCGCAGCATCCGCCAATGCCGTCATTCTGGGAGAGGTGAGAATATGACACTGGAGTTTCCCTCGAGTGCTCTAACCTCTTACCTGCTGCAATGTCGAGGATATAATGGGCAAGGTAGCTTACTTTGACTCAGGTCTCTGAGGTAAACATCTAATGACAACATAAACACTGTAAACCTGACTAAACAATTAGGAAGGCATTTTGACTGGCCTCTGGTCTAAACAATAAACAGTGTTCCGCCAGATGGTGTGTTTGTGGCTGTCGGCAGGCAGAGCTTGGTTAGAGCCAGGCCTTTGATTAACACATCGTAGCACAGATCAGGTGGTTTTACACAGCCCGGTTTCAAAGCTACACTGCTGTGCCGGTCCCTGCTGTGGCAATGTGTCTGCCACCACTGCAGTGCTGGATCAGGGATTAGAGAGAGAGGGGGGGGGGGGGGGTAGGTAGATAGGTAGGTGTGTGGTGTGTGTGTGTGTGTGTCTGTGTGTGTGTGTGTGTGTGTGTGTGTGTGTGTGTGTGTGCGTGTGTGTGTGTGTGTTTGTGACCAGAGAGGAGTCAAGGGTGAAAAGTTAGGGGTCAAGGGTCAGGTTCCATGGAGGAGAGTGTAGGGAATACTCACTGTCCTCCGAAAAGCTGCATGCCCAGCAGAGCAAAGACAACGATGAAGAGGAAGAGGAGGAAGAGCAAACTGATAATGGACTTCATTGAGTTGAGCAGAGACACCACCAGGTTCCTCAGGGAATTCCAGTACCTGGGGAAAGCAGAGAGAAGAGAAAGGAGGAAGAGAGAGAGAAAGAGAGAGAGATAGTAGTGAATGGATAGGGAGAACATAGGGAGGAAAGGACGGTGGGAGGCTTGATTGTGGTGCTACTGGTAAATAGATAGAAATGTTCCACTACATTGTTGTGAATCACATGATTATTGACTAATCTAGTGAGTATAAAATGATCCCTATCTAACTTTAATAGGATTACAGACTGACAGAATGGGACAATGCTAAACATTGCTCTGTGGAGAAATATCTTCTTACTGTCCCCACATTTGATTCTGAATGTATGTTGATATCTTGTATGAGTGTACACGGAGTGCGAGCGTATGTAGGCCTATGTGTGGACAGAAATGTGTGTTCACTCACTTGGTGAATTTGAATAACCTTAGCAGACGAAGAGCCCTCAGTACACTAATGCCATAGGATGCCCCTGGTTTGATCATAGACCACACCACCTCAAGTATACTTCCTATTATCACCTGTGGAGAAGAGGAGAGGAGAAAGAGCTACTATAACAAAGTAGCTACTACTTGCTACTCAGCAGCAATAGTTTGGACACACCTACTCATTCAAGGGTTTTTCTTTAATTTTACTATTTTCTACATTCTACATAACACATATGGAATCATGTAGTAACCAAAAAAGTGTTAAACAAATCAAAATGTATTTTATATTTGAGATTCTTCAAATTTCAAATAGCCACCCTTTGCCTTGATGACAGCTTTGCGCACTCTTGGCATTCTCTCATGCAGCTTCATGAGGTAGTCACCTGGAATGCATTTCAATTAACAGGTGTGCCTTAAAAGTTAATTTGTGGAATTTCTTTCCTTCTTAATGCGTTTGAGCCAATCAGTTGTGTTGTGACAAGGTAGGGGGGTATACAGAAGATAGCCCTATTTGGTAAAAGACCAAGTCCATATTATGGCAAGAACAGCTCAAATAAGCAAAGAGAAATGACAGTCCATCATTACTTTAAGACATGAAGGTCAGTCAATACGGAACATTTCAAGATCTTTGAAAGTTTCTTCAAGTGCAGTCACAAAAACCATTAAGCACTATGATGAAACTGGGTCTCATGAGGAACGCCACAGGAATGGAAGACCCAGAGTTACCTCTGCTGCAGAGGATAAGTTCATTAGAGTTACCAGCCTCAGAAATTGCAGCCCAAATAAATGCTTCACAGAGTTCAAGTAACAGACACATCTCAACATCAACTGTTCAGAGGAGACTGTGTGAACCAGGTCTTCATGGTCGAATTGCTGCAAAGAAACCATTACAAAACGACACCAATAAGAAGAAGAGACTTGCATGGGCCAAGAAACACGAGCAATAGACATTAGACCGGTGGGAATGTGTCCTTTGGTCTGGAGTCCAAATTTGAGATTTCTGGTTCCAACCGCCGTGTCTTTGTGAGACGCGGTGTGGGTAAACGGATGATCTCCGCATGTATATTTCCCACCGTAAAGCATGGAGGAGGATGTGTTATGGTGTGGGGGTGCTTTGCTGGTGACACTGTCTGTGATTTATTTAGAATTCAAGGCACACTTAACCAGCATGGCTACCACAGCATTCTGCAGCGATACACCATCCCATCTGGTTTGGGCTTAGTGGGACTATTATTTGTTTTTCAACAGGACAATGATCCAACACACCTCCAGGCTGTGTAAGGGCTATTTTACCTAGAAGCTGGTTGACAGAATGCCAAGAGTGTGCAAAGCTGTCATCAAGGCAAAGGGTGGCTATTTGAAGAATCTCAAATATAAAATATATTTTTATTTATTTTTATCACTTTTTTGGTTACTACATGATTCCATGTGTTATTTCATAGTGTTGATGTCTTCACTATTATTCTACAATGTAGATAATAGTACAAATAAAGAAAAACCCTTGAATGAGTAGGTGTTCTAAAACTTTTGACCGGTAGTGTATACTGTATACATACACTGTATATGCCATTTAGCAGACGCTTTTATCCAAAGCAACTTACAGTCATGAGTGCATTCATTTTACGTGTGGGTGGTCCGGGGAATCGAACCCACGATTCCCCAGAGGACCAATGAATTAAATCAATTGATTCAATTCAACATTCAACATTTAACATTAGAATCAATTCAACATTTAATCATCATATAAAAAATGTATCCAGTGGCCATGTAAGTCGTTATGTTAGCATCTGCATCTGAGATAGATTAATTAGCTTTTCAAGGTATTGCAAAGGCATGTATGGTGACTTACACCAAAGTCGAAGCAGTTGAAAGAGGAATGGAAGTAGTTTCTGGCTCCCAGGCCGTACATCTTCAGGCTCATCTCAGACAGGAACAGACCCAGGAACACAAACTCTGCCTGGTCTGGGGTTCCAGGGGGATGGAGAACCATCAATGACTAAATGCATCAGCTACTGATAATCATCCATTTGATTGTGAATGTGTGTGTGTCTGTGCATGTGTGTGTAGGCATCTGTGTGTGTGTGTGTGTGTGTGTGTGTGTGTGTGTGTGTGTGTGTGTGTGTGTGTGTGTGTGTGTGTGTGTGTGTGTGTGTGTGTGTGTGTGTGTGTGTGTGTGTGTGTGTGTGTGTGTGTGTGTGTGGATGTGCGTGTGTGTGGATGTGTGTGTGGATGTGCGTGTGTGCCTGCTTGGTGTGAATACACACGTGTGTGTGACTTACAGAGGGTGGTGGTGAGCCACTCAGGCTGGTCGTAGTGGACGATGGCCACACACAGCGTGTTGAGGCCCACCAGACACAGTACTATCCAGTAGAAGCTCTGGGCTTTGACCATGCGACGGATGAAGAAACGCATTCTCCTCTCCTTGCGGCGGAAGTAGGACGAGCTCTCCAGCTTACTGCTCTTCACGCTGGCCCGGCCAAACGGAGAGCCTGGGGGCGCTAGGGGAAAGAAGGTGAAGAAGGGAAGTCAGCACAGAAAGGTGTATCATGTCATCCATCACGTCACATTCCCAAAAGTGATTTACTGTTCATCATCGTTGGCATTATTATCATTATCATCATCAAGTCATCATCGGCAAGTCTAGGGTGATTTGAACATTATATTACAATACATGTTCTAATAGTTTACAAAAAGAAATATTGACATCCAGCATTAAGTCTGTACTTCTGTATCTGAGGGGGAACCGTATAAGAATATTGAGGCTGTTTCAGGCTGTAATCAACCCACTAGAAGCTCCATATTTAGACTCTCGCTCTACATTCCACCTGAATAAATCCGAGCTTCTTTGCTAATTGAAAGACCTTCACGGCTAAGACTAAAATGGATAAGACTCAAATGACTAAGACAAAAATGTATCCTCAATTCTCACTTACCACTCTGAAAAGGTATAATTTTTTGCATTAAAGGTTTTATAATCTGCCTCACTGAGAGTGAAATCGGATCTTTAGTTTAGAACAGGACAAATGTAGATGTTAGATTTGACTGTGTAAAGCCTGTATCCCCATGACAGTAATTTAGATGTAAAACAGCCACTGGAGGTTGTCAGGAGAGGAATCCAGACGGTTTCTTTAATGTGAACACTAAAATTATTTCAATTATCATGGTTAGGAGTATTTCCCCCAAAGACAAGTAATTACATATTTTTTTCTGTGAAGCAAACTTTATTTCATTAATATTAAAACTCGAATCCATTATCCTGGAGTGATTTTTCCAGCTACTATAATTTTAGAGTATAATAAGAAAATTGAACGACATCTACAGGCTACAAATAATCAGTAAAACAAGCAATCCTTCTGACTATGGTAATGTAAGTAGAGTTTCCTTGTGTAACAAGTGTTGTTAGTTTGTGTTACATACCAGAGATAACAGTGAAATAAATTGAAGCATCAAAAAGATGCATGAGAATAGAAAAACCTTTGAATAGGCCAAAGGTCACCAGAGGGGGAACATGAGACAAGCTGTGAGGACAAGCTCAAGGAGTTGTTATCTAAAAGGTCAAGGGTCAGCCAAAGGTTGATTTAGTCAGTTGAGGTCAAATGTGAAGGTTGGGGTCAGTCAGACAGACAGTTGAGTCTGGTCAGTCAGATAGGAGTACAGGATGGTTGAGTCTTACCAACAGAGGACATGTCAGTGAAGTGATCCTCTCCCTCCTCAGCACCGATCAGGTCATTCTTACTCTTCTTGACCTTGCCTCGTTTCAACACTGCACACACACAGCACAGCAGAGAGGCAGGAGTAAGGATTTCTACACACACATGGGCATTTACATACACACATGTATGTGTTGCCACGTGCACTGACGTACACACGTACGCACGCACGCACACACACACACAGCATGCCCCTCCCCCCATATGTGTGGGCTAATTGGATGCTATGAATAGTGGGCATCAATCACGTTTTTCATTCTCCGATTCTGGCTTCCGCTTCAAGCCAGCCTTGGAATGAAAAACTGTTGTGCATGAATGTGATCGTCACGTGAGCCTCGATGTCACAAAAGATCTACAACCCTTCTAGAATCTAGAGTACCTCTTCAATGCTCTGCTCTGAGGCAAAATCAGCTCTGCTTATGTTCTCTATGAATGAGGATCAGAGCAGTATCTTAATTTATGAGTAAATGGTGAAACAGAGAGAACCATATCATCTTTAATAGAACGACAGACAGATTGACAATGGTCCAACATTTGTATCTTTACCTATAAATCCGTCCTTTCATTTCTCTAGTTGCTAGTTCAACTCCTGAAGCTGACAAGGAGAATCTGTCGATGTGCCCTTGAGGAAGGCACATAACCCCAATGTGCAGAGTCACTTCATGATAAGATGGATGACCTCCGATTGTGGATGTGCTATCAATGCGACGCTCGTAACTGCAATATCCTCTGTTTTACTGAAACATGGCATTCGGAAAAAATATAATCGAGCGGACAGGACATCGGATTCAGGGACAACCAGAGGGGGAGGGCTATGTCTCTTCATCAACAACAACTGGTGTGCTGACTCTATCGTAGTGGTAGTCTCGATCTATTGTTCACCCGTCTTGGAATACCTGATGGTCAAATGCCAACCCTTCTACCTCCCGAGAGAGTTTTCCTCTGTTATCGTGACTGCTGTATACATTCCACAACAAAAAGCTGGCACTTGACAAACTGTACGAGGCTATAAGCAAGCAGGAAACCATGCACCCGGAGATTGCTTTTCTTGTTGCCGGTGATTTTAATTCCACGTCACTAAGACAAGTGATGCCTAGGGCTGTTGCAGTGACCGTATTACCGCCACACCGGCGGTCACGAGTCATGAAGGCAGTCAAATTTCACGTGAACGTTTAGTCATGGTAATTAGGCTTCTCCAAGCTCTGATGCTGCTGATGGTCATTAGTAGCCTACCAAAATTGCTAACTGCCTGGTACTCAGCACTCTATTGTCCCGCTAATCACTCTGACATCAATGCAAATGTAATCGAAAATCTAATCAAACCCATGAGCTCATGTTGCGCAACATTTCTATAAGCTATGCAATTGTGCAAGAAAACAGAGTGATGACCTCTATTAAAAAGAGGAGGATCCCATCAGCTTTCTATATTTATTTTTCAACTTTCCTAATATTAAGCAAATATTAAGCACATTGCTTATCTTTACAACAGGGGCTATAGTCTACCTGGCTGGCATGAAAATGAACCACAGGAAAAGCGTCCTCCATTCGCTATTTAAGTGCAGAGATGACATGTATTTTTTCCCCTACCCCTATTTCGAGACAGCTGCATGATAATGGTCCATTCTAAATCAAAATGAATTTCACACATATATTATTTAGTATATGTAAAGACAAGATTAAATAAAAAATAGTCTGATAGGTGACAATATTAGCCTATCACTTGTGAATTATATATTATCACTTGTGAATGATGCCCATCTTAAGGCAAGAAACAATGCCTTTTTTGTGTGACTTTTTGGAATCATAGTCGCACACCTCATGTAGCCTAGCCCATAGGCCTATATGTTTTGATAAGGTTTGTATCACAACAAAAGTGACGAAATAACTTCTTAAAATGAAGCACATTAATCCGCTTTACAACGGGTGTAGAGCCTAACTGACATACATACGCAGCGCGTGAGTTTCAAGTTAGGGGAAGATAATTTTCACCATAAAAATGCACCTTTATAATAAAAGCATTACATGCATAATCACATTTGTGGTCCCTTTTGATAATGGTGTTTTCCCGCAAATGCAACATTTGCGCTTATAGCCTACTGCCGTGTGCGCATTGCTGCGCTTATAATGTGAAGAAATAGCCTAATAGTTTATCAACATTTTAAGCTAAACGTTCTGATCTGTTGCGTCAGCCTCATTGCGTAAAAAAGTTTTGGGATGCTAGGGTTTGTATTAATTTGGGATCTATCGCATCCCACAACTGTCCCAGGCTATGTTTGGCACAGAATAGAATAGGTCAACTTTTGTACTATGGGGGATAGTAGATTGACATAGGCTAGTGCTTTTGCTGTTCGTTAGGCCTACTCATCTTGTTGGCTGACGAAAAGTAAATGTGGAAAGTTCTTCCAATATCTTCAATATGCACCTCGGAATTGGATAAGGACGCGCGCAGTTGCGTCCCGGATGTGTCTGTCTTCATTTGTAGCCTGTGAGAAAGACCGATCACGTGATGGAGAGCCCTGTGAGTGAGATGAGAGCTGCTTCGGAGCAGGCAGCACTCAGGGAGAAGGGCTGCAAAAGGCATTTAATTTTTTAGGTGCATTTTGGCCACACAAAGGGGATGCCGCCGGGAAATTCAAGGCATTATCAAGTGCTTCTCAAATTGTGAATGTGAGACTGACGAAGTGTGTACAGCCTGTGCAAAAAACAAAGCAGAGCTCATGACTTTCATGCAACTTTTTTCAAATCATCATTAGAGTCGCATCATGCAGCCTTACAATGTATTAAAAATCAAAACATATAGCCCAAAGTTTGTAGAACAACCGAAGTTACATTAATAACTCTAAGTTAAGCATTTGGAGTACCTATTTCTTTGTTAACCGCTCAACACAGAATAGCTGCATGTGCGCACTCCCTCAAAAGGTTTGGAGAAAAAATCATTTCAATTTTATTCAGCTATGTTCAATTGTATTCTTCACACTATAAAATAATATAAAATAATGCCACGGAATTCTAAGCAAATCTTGTCTACTAAATGAACTAGTGTAGCCCACAGCCATATGGCATAGCCAGATCAGGAAATAACATAAGGACAACTCAGAGTATGCTATTCTGTTCTTCTGAAATAGACTACATTTTCTTCATATCATGTTTCTTTAGACCTGTCTAAAATAAATCATGGATTTATTGTTAAGGTGTACGCTGTATTACATGGATGTCACGGATTCTGCCGAGGCTGCCCCTCCTCCTTTCTCGGGCAGGCTTCGGCGTACGTCGTCACCGGAATACTAGCTGCTGCCGATCTATGTTCTATGTTTCTATGTTGCACCTGTTGTCTGATTGTTACACACCTGTTGCCCATTATGTGATTACTCCTTCCCTATTTAACCCAGTGGCTCCCAATGTGTTTTGTCGGTGGTTGTTTTTCGTTTCGTGTGTCGTTGGTGAGCGGGTTAGTTCCTCCCTGTGTGGAGGTATTCTGTATTGTTTTTACTTATTTCAGTAAAGTACGTTTCTGTGTTCTGTGTCCTGCGCCTGACTTCGATCCACCGCATTACACTGACACTCGTGACAATAGATTTATTAGACTTTTTTAAATGTAGATGTTCCAAAGGTCTGCATCAGTGGCTTGTAGGCTATGTGTGGAAGCCAGGAGATGCTAAATGTGTTTATGTTAATTAACGGTCAATTACAGTGAGACCGACAGTTATTTGCTTGACAATCACCGCCACAGCCCTAGTGATGCCCAACTTCTATCAACACGTCTCCTTCGCCACTAGGGGTGATAAAGTCCTGGACCACTGTTCCTCAACCCACAAGCAAGCATACAAGGCCCTCCCTCGTCCCCCTTCGGCAAATCAGATCACGACTCAATACTCCTGCTTCCTGTTTACAGACTCTCCACCATGGCCAAGGACAAAGAGCTCTCCAAGGATGTCAGGGACAAGATTGGAGACCTACACAAGGTTGGAATGGGCTACAAGACCATCGCCAAGCAGCTTGGTGAGAAGGTGACAACATTTGGTGCGATTATTCGCAAATGGAAGAAACACAAAATAACTGTAAATCTCCCTCGGCCTGGGGCTCCATGCAAGATCTCACCTCGTGGAGTTGCAATGATCATGAGAACGGTGAGGAATCAGCCCAGAAATACACGGGATGATCTTGTCAATGATCTCAAGGCAGCTGGGACCATAGTCACCAAGAAAACAATTGGTAACACACTACGCCATGAAGGACTGTAATCCTGCAGCACACGCAAGGTCCCCCTGCTCAAGAAAGCACATATACATGCCCGTCTGAAGTTTGCCAATGAACATCTGAATGATTCAGAGGAGAACTGGGTGAAAGTGTTGTGGTCAGATGAGACCGAAATGGAGCTCTTTGGCATCAACTCAACTCGCCGTGTTTGGAGGAGGAGGAATGCTGCCTATCACCCCAAGAACACCATCCCCACCGTCAAACATGGAGGTGGAAACATTATGCTTTGGGGGAGTTTTTCTGCTAAGGGGACAGGACAACTTCACCGCATCAAAGGGACGATGGACGGGGCCATGTACCGTCAAATCTTGGGTGAGAACCTCCTTCCCTCAGCCAGGGCATTGAAAATGGGTCGTGGATGGGTATTCCAGCATGACAATGACCCAAAACACACGGCCAAGGCAACAAAGGAGTGGCTCAAGAAGAAGCACATTAAGGTCCTGGAGTGGCCTAGCCAGTCTCCAGACCTTAATCCCATAGATAATCTGTGGAGGGAGCTGAAGGTTCGAGTTGCCAAACGTCAGCCTCGAAACCTTAATGACTTGGAGAAGATCTGCAAAGAGGAGTGGAACAAAATCCCTCCTGAGATGTGTGCAAACCTGGTGGCCAACTACAAGAAACGTCTGACTTCTGTGATTGCCAACAAGGGTTTTGCCACCAAGTACTAAGTCATATTTTGCAGAGGGGTGAAATACTTATTTCCCTCATTAAAATGCAAATAAATTTATAACATTTTTTACATGCGTTTTTCTGGATGTTTTTGTTGTTATTCTGTCTCTCACTGTTACATTTTACATTTTAGTAATTTAGCAGACGCTCTTATCCAGAGCGACTTACAGTTAGTGAGTGCATACATAATTTTTTTATTTTTCATACTGGCCCCCCGTGGGAATCGAACCCACAACCCTGGCGTTGCAAACCAGCCGGCCATTCCCTCCCCTACCCTGGACGACGCTGGGCCAATTGTGCGCTGCCCCATGGGTCTCCCGGTCGTGGCCGGCTACAACAGAGCCTGGATCAAATAAACCTAACATTGAAATTATAGACTGATCATTTCTTTGTCAGTGGGCAAACGTGGCACTGACCCTGTATATAGCGTCCTCTCTTATTTCTTATTTATTGTGTTTTCTTTATTATATAAATGTTTTATTTTGATTAATTATACTATTTTGATATTGATTACTGCACTGTTGTGTAGACCTTGCATTTCACTGTACTTGTGCATGTGAAAATAAAACTTGAACTTGAACCTGCCATTCAACATCCCTTGGCCACGATTACATTTTCAGCTTTAACAATATTATTGAGTGGGATTTCTCTGGCAGTGAGCTCAAGCATTATAATCCTCAGCATGTAATTAAGTTATTAAACGAAGGAAGATGTAGACAAGCCATCAGTTCTGTCATCTAACCTGAGAAGTATGTGTATGTATGTGTGTGTGTGTGTGTGTGTGTGTGAGTGTGTGTGTGTGTGTAGATACGTGCTTGTGTGTGTGTGTGCATGTATTGTACAGCCCTAATCCAATCGAGTCATCTCTCTAAATCCCCCTAATTAACCCTGGCTCCCACACCAGACCTAATTGGCTGAGAGTATGGGCCTAACACAACATGCGGCTGCCGGGGGCTGAGGGGAGTAACATCTGGGACATGACTGCACTCCAGCTGGAGCAGGGAGAACCGTCCATGTCGGAGAGAAGAGGAAGAGAAAGAGAAGAGGGGGGGTGGAGCGAGAGAGAAGGAAGTGAGAGAGAGAAGAGGAAAGAGGGAGAGCAGAGAGAGGAGGGGAGTGAGAGAGAAGGAAAGAGCAAGAAGAGAGAGGAAGAAGAGGAGAGGAGAGAGAAGGAAGGAAGTGAGAGAGAGAAGAGGAAAGAGGGAGAGCAGAGAGAGGAGGGGGAGTGACAGAGAAGGGGAAAGAGGGAGAGAAGAGAGAGGAGGGGGAGTGAGAGAGAAGGAAGTGAGGAGAGAGAGGAAGAGGAGAGCGAGAAGGGGAGTGAGAGAGAGAGAGAGAGAGGAGGGAGGAGAGAGGGAGGGAAGAGAGAACGAGTCAGTGAGTGAAAAGAGAAGGAGAAAGAGGGGAGCAGAGAGAGGAGGGGGAGGGAGTGACGAGAAGGGGGAAAGAGGGAGAAGAGAGAGGAGGGGGGTGAGGAGAAGGGGAAAGAGGGAGAGAAGGAGAGGAGGGATGAGAGAGAGAAGGAGAGAGAGAAGAGGAAAGAGGGAGAGAAGGAAGAGGACGGGGGAGAGTGCGGAAGTGATAGAGAGAAGAGGAAAGAGGGAGAGGAAGAGAGAGAGAGAGGGGTAGTGATAGAGAGAAGAGGAAAGAGGGAGAGGAAGAGAGAGAGAGAGCGATAGGGGAAGTGAGAGAGAGAGGGCAAGAAGAGTGGAGTGAAGGGAAATACATAGAGGGAAAGTTGAAGAAATAAAGGATAGAAAGATACAGACAGAGAGAAAAGACTGACAAACAAGATGTAGTGCAGGGACACCAGACAACAACTCATTACAGCAGTCTCCCTGGACCTTAGTAATCACTCACTGATACTCTAACACATTGTAATAGTGTATTAAACCCTATACCCCAGGTGAAAGAGAACCAGACCACATTCATGGTACCCTAAATATGGCATGAATCGAATTGAGCGATTTATACACCACAGAATGACATGGTGCAAAATCGTCTCAATCTGAAAATGGAGGGTGAGGCTAATTCATGAGAATGATGAATCGTATCTGACTATGCCTGTTTTACCATAAGGTACCATGGTAGTCCAGTAGGGTACCATGGTAAAGGCCACAGTGTGGACCTCGAGCCCTCTTTTCACCTGGGAGGTTCTGTTTCCTCTTGTACCACGCACCGTCCAGAGGGGACTTCTCCTCCGCGTTCTCATCCTCCTCCTCCAGCAGCACCTCCTCTGGAACAGGAGAGGACAGGGTTATATACCACGACACACGCACACATACTCACAAACGCTCATGCACACACATACAACCACACAAACTGTACACTCTTAGAAAAAAGGGTTCCAAAAGGGTTCTTCTGCTGTCCCCGTAGGATAACCCTTTTTGGTTCCAGGTATAACCCTTTTGGGTTCCAGGTAGAACCCTCTGTGGAAAGGGTTCAACATAGAACCGAAAACAGTTCTACCTGGAACCACAAGGGTTTTACCTGGAACCAAAAAGGGGTCTTCAAAGGGTTCTCTCCTACGGTGACAGCCAAAGAACCCTTTTAGGTTCTAGGTAGCACCCTTTTTTCTAAGAGTGTACATACACATCACCAACACACACATGCCTTGCAAAAGTATTTAGACCGTTTGGATTCTTTCACATTTTATTGTGTTACAAAGTGGGATTCATATTTTTTTGGTCAACAATATACACAGAATGCTCTATAATGTCAAAGTGGAAGAATAATTAATAAAAAAAATGTATAAGTAAAATATAGTCATTGCATAAGTATTCAGTCCCTTAGTTTAGTCAAGCCTAAATTAGTAACATTTGGCTTAACAAATCACAAAAAAAGTTAAACGTAGGGTTTGACATGATTTTTAAATGACTAACTCTTCCTCTGTCCCCATACACACAACATCTGTAAGGTCCCTCAAAATACATTTGCAAAAATTTCTAAAAACCTGTTTTGGCTTTGTCATTATGGGGTACTGTGTGTAGATTGATGAGTTTAAAAACATAATGAATCCATTTTAGAATAAGGCTGTAACATAAACAAAATGTGGAAAAAGTCAAGGGGTCTGAATACTTGCCGAATGCACCATTTACACACACACACGGATTACAAGAAGTGGAGGTGAGCCTGACCTGCCTTGCATATCCACTCTAGGTATCCCGTAAGCTCTTTCTCTATCTGCTGCTGTCTGCGCAGCTTCAGAAAGTCCTGCCTCTTCTCCACACGCTCTCTCTCTTTGGCAAACTCCCTGTGAACACACACACACATATGGACACACACACACGGACCCACACACTTTAAACTCCTATTGGAATTCACAGGTTAATTTCTATGGCATTTCAGCCTATGTGTGTGTTCCACTCCTCCTCTCCTCTCTAGGAGTGGAACATGAAAGGGCTCTTTGAAGGGCCAAACTCACAGAGAAACAGACATGGATGAATGGACGGACAGACAGATACAAAGATATAGCCGTGTGTTCCACTGTTAAAGCGTGGTGTGGATGAGGTCAGCTCACAGATAAAAGACACAATTATTTAAATATGCTCACACACACACACACAAAGACACAGGCACGCACCTATGCACGCACTCACACATGCACACACACCAACTCATTCCTTAGACCCAGATAAAGTTCTGCTTCCCCATAGGAACCCCAGTTCTTTCTAGACTAATGACAGTGTATATGGAATGAGCCCTGTTGAGACGGACCCAGTGTGTGTAGAGGAGTGTGTTTCACTGTCACAGACAATGAGACGGACAGACCACTGAGTTCAAAGAGAAGAGCAAGGGACACCATTAAGTTTAAAGACAAAGACCTGGCCATTTTAAAACACAGGAGAGAGAGATCGAGAGAGTGAGAAAAGAGAGGGAGGGAGAGGGAGATAAAGAGAGCAAGTAGTGGGGAGGGAGAGAAGGAGAGTGGGAGAGAGATGACTAATCTTGCAACTGAATTCTATTTTAGCCGTTTTCAGTATCATTTCAGTTAAGATGCATTTCCCGTCAGTTGGAGGAATTAAAAATGAATGCGGTATCATGTGGTATCACCAGTATCATATTATGATGTTCCCCAACATTGTCACTGTCTTCACAGTGCCATCTCTCTGTTAGCTCAACCACTGGAGTGATGGCTGAGATTCTACTGTGGTAAGCTGTGGAATGTGAGAGGGGAGGCTAAAGGCTTTCGCATATTTCGGTTCGGCTGGCGCCTAGCCGAACGAGTGTGCTCACATACTTCCTTAAAACACCTTTGCTTGAAAAACGAGAAAAAGCAGCAATAGTACTGTTTGTCCATCTTGAGACGCAGTAACCCAGAATAGTCTGAATTAATGTAAGATAACTCAAGAAATTAGATCTTAGTTGCACAATTTTACATCTAACTAAGATGTTTGGTGCAGTATTTCTCAAGTGAAAAAAGTACCATGAAAACAATTAGTCTATCGTTGAATGACAACAAACACTTAATTGAAGAATCCCTACTGTTGACCAATGACCGACGAAGGGGCGTAGACTTCGGCTCTGAACTTCGGCTTGCCTCGAGAATTTTAGGGTTTTCACAAACAGCCGAAAAAACCCTTGCCGAAGACCAAAACGAACCAAAACGTCACAAAATGTTGTCATAATATATGCACAAACTGTTCCGAATTGTTGTGGATGGGAAGCATGCGGAAGCCTTAAGGCAGAGAGTCATTGGGTTCAGGAAGGACAGAAGAGATGGAGGATGCACGCACATACGCACACATAATACACACACAAAACACACACAGACAGAGGAGAACTAGCCATGCACTGAGTAGGAGATTAGGCTTTCCAGAAAACATAAATATAGCACCTGACCAGGAACATGTAGCCACACTACGGTGCTCTTAACAGGATGTCTCCTCGTAGGGCTAATGGGAGACATTGTGTGCCTGTGTGTGTGCCTGTGTGTGTGCGTGTGTGTGTGTGTGTGTGTGTGTGAGCATGCACGCGTGTGTGTGTGCGTGGGTGAATAATGCAAACCATATTAAAAGAGTGGGCGAGAGAGAAAAAAGGAAGAAGATCGAGTGAGAGAGGGAAAGAGAGAGAGTGAATGATGACTCAGAATTAACATTGCTGGGGAGGGGATGTAAGTGAATTCCGATAAGCTTTTCATTATGATAAATCTGGAGCCTCAACTCTCTCCATATTTACACAGCTATTCCAGCGGCACTGGCTAATTTCATTATGGTAATGCTGTCTCTGTAAATGCACATCTCTTTATGGGGAAGGTCTCCCCGTCAGGCCAGCTAGGCTTTCAGCCTGAGGGGGCTCCGCTCAGCCCCTCCACTGGAGACACAGGATCAAACACGCGCACATACAAACACAAATACAGTACATATACAGTGGGGGAAAAAAGTATTTAGTCAGCCACCAATTGTGCAAGTTCTCCCACTTAAAAAGATGAGAGAGGCCTGTAATTTTCATCATAGGTACACGTCAACTATGACAGACAAATTGAGAATTTTTTTTCCAGAAAATCACATTGTAGGATTTTTAATGAATTTATTTGCAAATTACGGTGGAAAATAAGTATTTGGTCACCTACAAACAAGCAAGATTTCTGGCTCTCACAGACCTGTAACTTCTTCTTTAAGAGGCTCCTCTGTCCTCCACTCGTTACCTGTATTAATGGCACCTGTTTGAACTTGTTATCAGTATAAAAGACACCTGTCCACAACCTCAAACAGTCACACTCCAAACTCCACTATGGCCAAGACCAAAGAGCTGTCAAAGGACACCAGAAACAAAATTGTAGACCTGCACCAGGCTGGGAAGACTGAATCTGCAATAGGTAAGCAGCTTGGTTTGAAGAAATCAACTGCGGGAGCAATTATTAGGAAATGGAAGACATACAAGACCACTGATAATCTCCCTCGATCTGGGGCTCCACGAAAGATCTCACCCCATGGGGTCAAAATGATCACAAGAACGGTGAGCAAAAATCCCAGAACCACACGGGGGGACCTAGTGAATGACCTGCAGAGAGCTGGGACCAAAGTAACAAAGCCTACCATCAGTAACACACTACACCGCCAGGGACTCAAATCCTGCAGTGCCAGACGTGTCACCCTGCTTAAGCCAGTACATGTCCAGGCCCGTCTGAAGTTTGCTAGAGTGCATTTGGATGATACAGAAGAGGATTGGGAGAATGTCATATGGTCAGATGAAACCAAAATAGAACTTTTTGGTAAAAACTCAACTCATCGTGTTTGGAGGACAAAGAATGCTGAGTTGCATCCAAAGAACACCATACCTACTGTGAAGCATGGGGGTGGAAACATCATGCTTTGGGGCTGTTCTTCTGCAAAGGGACCAGGACGACTGATCCGTGTAAAGGAAAGAATGAATGGGGCCATGTATCGTGAGATTTTGAGTGAAAACCTCCTTCCATCAGCAAGGGCATTGAAGATGAAACGTGGCTGGGTCTTTCAGCATGACAATGATCCCAAACACACCGCCCGGGCAACGAAGGAGTGGCTTCGTAAGAAGCATTTCAAGGTCCTGGAGTGGCCTAGCCAGTCTCCAGATCTCAACCCCATAGAAAATCTTTGGAGGGAGTTGAAAGTCCGTGTTGCCCAGCGACAGCCCCAAAACATCACTGCTCTAGAGGAGATCTGCATGGAGGAATGGGCCAAAATACCAGCAACAGTGTGTGAAAACCTTGTGAAGACTTACAGAAAACGTTTGACCTTTGTCATTGCCAACAAAGGGTATATAACAAAGTATTGAGAAACTTTTGTTATTGACCAAATACTTATTTCCCACCATAATTTGCAAATAAATTCATAAAAAATCCTACAATGTGATTTTCTGGATTTTTTTTTCTCATTTTGTCTGTCATAGTTGACGTGTACCTATGACGAAAATTACAGGCATCTCTCATCTTTTTAAGTGGGAGAACTTGCACAATTGGTGGCTGACTAAATACTTTTTTTCCCCACTGTATGAGCACAAGCACAAACACATACACACGTATGCACACACATATTTGTGCACACACAAACACACACGTCTCCTACTACCTCCCCTGTCAATAGAGTGGGTCAGTATAGGGGACCGTGGCTCTAGTTGTCATCCTGTCCTAGCTAATAAAATGGGTGGTTTGTATGCTAAGTCTGATCCATGCTTCCCTAGACCGTGTGTCTGTGTGTGTTGGGTCAGACTTACCCTGATAAGACACCCAGGACCAAGTTAAGCATGAAGAAGGATCCGATGATGATGAGGGGGATGAAGTAGAGCCAGTTCCAGGTGTTCCCCGAGGCATCGTTGGCCTGCACACACACACACACACACACACACACACACACACACACACACACACACACACACACACACACACACACACACACACACACACACACACACACACACACATTCAGAGTGGGAAAGAGAGACAAAGAAAAAGGTGCATGTGTATTAGTATTACGCTTCTTAATGTTTGCAGTTGGTCAACGTACAACATCTGCATGACATCGATATCCAGGTAGAACCCTTTTGGGTTCCAGGTAGAATCTTTTGGGGTTCTATGTAAAACCCTCTGTAGAAAGGGTTCTACATGGAACCTAAAAAGGGTTCTACCTACAGAGGGGGAAAAAAGTATTTAGTCAGCCACCAATTGTGCAAGTTCTCCCACTTAAAAAGATGAGAGAGGCCTGTAATTTTCATCATAGGTACACGTCAACTATGACAGACAAATTGAGGAAACAAAATCCAGAAAATCACATTGTAGGATTTTTAATGAATTTATTTGCAAATTATGGTGGAAAATAAGTATTTGGTCACCTACAAACAAGCAAGATTTCTGGCTCTCACAGACCTGTAACTTCTTCTTTAAGAGGCTCCTCTGTCCTCCACTCATTACCTGTATTAATGGCACCTGTTTGAACTTGTTATCAGTATAAAAGACACCTGTCCACAACCTCAAACAGTCACACTCCAAACTCCACTATGGCCAAGACCAAAGAGCTGTCAAAGGACACCAGAAACAAAATTGTAGACCTGCACCAGGCTGGGAAGACTGAATCTGCAATAGGTAAGCAGCTTGGTTTGAAGAAATCAACTGTGGGAGCAATTATTAGGAAATGGAAGACATACAAGTCCACTGATAATCTCTCTCAAACTGGGGCTCCACGCAAGATCTCACCCCGTGGGGTCAAAATGATCACAAGAACGGTGAGCAAAAATCCCAGAACCACACGGGGGGACCTAGTGAATGACCTGCAGAGAGCTGGGACCAAAGTAACAAAGCCTACCATCAGTAACACACTACGCCGCCAGGGACTCAAATCCTGCAGTGCCAGACGTGTCCCCCTGCTTAAGCCAGTACATGTCCAGGCCCGTCTGAAGTTTGCTAGAGTGCATTTGGATGATCCAGAAGAGGATTGGGAGAATGTCATATGGTCAGATGAAACCAAAATAGAACTTTTTGGTAAAAACTCAACTCGTCGTGTTTGGAGGACAAAGAATGCTGAGTTGCATCCAAAAAACACCATACCTACTGTGAAGCATGGGGGTGGAAACATCATGCTTTGGGGCGTTTTTCTGCAAAGGGACCAGGACAACTGATCCGTGTAAAGGAAAGAATGAATGGGGCCATGTATCGTGAGATTTTGAGTGAAAACCTCCTTCCATCAGCAAGGGCATTGAAGATGAAACGTGGCTGGGTCTTTCAGCATGACAATGATCCCAAACACACCGCCCGGGCAACGAAGGAGTGGCTTCGTAAGAAGCATTTCAAGGTCCTGGAGTGGCCTAGCCAGTCTCCAGATCTCAACCCCATAGAAAATCTTTGGAGGGAGTTGAAAGTCCGTGTTGCCCAGCGACAGCCCCAAAACATCACTGCTCTAGAGGAGATCTGCATGGAGGAATGGGCCAAAATACCAGCAACAGTGTGTGAAAACCTTGTGAAGACTTACAGAAAACGTTTGACCTGTGTCATTGCCAACAAAGGGTATATAACAAAGTATTGAGAAACTATACTTATTTTCCACCATAATTTGCAAATAAATTCATTAAAAATCCTACAATGTGATTTTCTGGATTTTTTTTCCTCATTTTGTCTGTCATAGTTGACGTGTACCTATGATGAAAATTACAGGCCTCTCATCTTTTTAAGTGGGAGAACTTGCACAATTGGTGGCTGACTAAATACTTTTTTCCCCCACTGTAGAACCAAAAGTGTTCTACCTGCAACCAAAAAGGGTTCTTCAAAGGGTTATCCTATGTGGACAGTCGAAGAACCCTTTAAGGTTCTAGGTAGCACCTTTTTTTCTAAGAGTGTACTCACAGTTATGTACTGGTACGATATGCTCCAGTGGATTACTGGACTCTAATCCAGCTAGATCTGCTGTACTGTTACACACTTCTCTTATTCCATGTTAATTAACATTCAAGTTTTTATTGTCACGTGCACTGCAGTAATCAATATCAGTAGTACTATAACATGTATTTTAAAAAAGAAAAGAAAAGCACAACAAAGTAAGCTATATACAAGATCAGTTCCAGGGTCAGTACCAATACCATATTTACAATGTGCAGGGATACTGTAGTGGTAGGGTTAGATATGTACAGGGTTAAGATGACTAGGCATCAGGATATACATCATAAACAGAGTAGCAGCAGCATACAGCATATGACGATTGTGCAATTGCTCAAATATGTATCAGTGCCTCATTTAAATTCAATAGCAGGGAAAGAAAGTGTTCTGCTACACTGCGTTTGCGAAGCTGACACAACAGTTTATCTTTTCACTTTCACTTATCTTTCCGATTATCCATCTACAGTCCCCAGAGAGGCTGGGGGAGACAGTGAGACATTGGGAGAGACAAAGTTAAACTACAGAGATAATGAGGGAATGAGATAGAAGTTAGAAAGATAGAGAGACAAAGGGAAGAGTAATGGACGATAAATCAAAGCGAAGAAGAGAGGCTGATGCCGGACATTTATCCTGTGTGTGGGCTGAGACAGTGACAGCTGAGAGAGAGATGGTAGGATGGGATGAGTGTGTGTGCTCGTGCATGCGCCTGTGTGGGCCTGTTTTTTATTTTTTAAATTTGTTTATTTGTCAGGGACCATGTACAACATGCCATTGTACCAGATTTAGCTAGATAGCTCATTTTCATCTGTAGTCCCTGGGCAAAAAAGCATCAACATGCGTGTCTGTGTTTGTACACCTGTGAGGGCGGTGTGTGTGTGTTCACCCCCACCCCCCCCCCCATTATGTGGCAGCACTCCGACACTGGCGTCTGCACAATGTCACCATGCTTCATGAAGTCCATCAGTCCCTGGGTCCATCCTGTTAGCTCACTGTCATCTATAGGGCATCACTGGGATCAGGGACTCACATAGTAAACACACCCTCTGGCAGCCCGCTGCCCAGGAGAACTGATTCTGGATCAGATCTTCCATAACTCAATCCTACTCTTCACAATATGAGCACAGTGACCAAAACAGCCCTGGGCCAGTTAGAGTAACCAAATCAACACACAAGTGGGGCCCAAAGGAGAGAGTGTACAGGGAGAGATGGAGTGTCCAATTATGGTGTGCTAAGCTTGTGGAATGGTGGGAGATACACTTTATAAACAAAAGACGTAGACACCTCTTCAAATTAGTGGCTTCGGCTTTCAGCCATACCCGTTGCTGACAGGTGTATAAAATCACGCAAACAGCCATGCAATCTCCATTGACAAACATTGGCAATAGAATGGACTTACTGAAGAGCTCAGTGACTTTCAATGTGGCACTGTCATAGGATGCCACCTTTCCAACAAGTCAGTTTGTCAAATGTCTGCCCTGCTAGAGCTGACTAGGTCAACTGTAAGTGCTGTTATTGTGAAGTGGAAACGTCTAGGAGCAACAATGGCTCAGCCGCGAAGTGGTAGGCCACACAAGCTCACAACACGGGACCAATGAGTGCTGAAGAGTGCAGCGCTTAAAAATCGTCTGTCCTCCATTGCAACACTCACTACTGAGTTCTAAACTGCCTCTGGAAGCAATGTCAGCACAAGAACTGTTCGTTGGGAGCTTCATGAAATGGGTTTCCATGACCAAGCAGCCGCACACAAGCCTAAGATCACCATGCGCAATGCCAAGCGTCGGCTGGAATGGTGTAAAGCTTGACGTCATTGGACTCTCTCTGGAGTGAGCCCCTTAGTTCCAGTGAGGGGAAATCTTAACGCTACAGTATACAATGACATTCTAGATGATTCTGTGCTTCCAACTTTGTGGCAACAGTTTGGAGAAGGCCCTTTCCTGTTTCAGCATGACAATGTCCCCGTTCACAAAGCGAGGTTCATACAGAAATGGTTTGTCGAGATCGGTGTGGAAGAACTTGACGGGCCTGCACAGAGCCCTGACCTCAACCCCATCGAAGACCTTTGGGATGAATTGGAACGCCGACTGCGAGCCAGGCCTAATTGCCCAACATCAGTGCCCGACCTCACTAATGCTCTTGTGGCTGAATGGAAGCAAGTCCCCCCAGCAATGTTCCAACATCTAGTGGAAAGCCTTCCCAGAAGAATGGAAGCTGTTTTAGCAGCAAAGGGGGGACCAACTCCTTATTAATGCCCATGATTATAGAATGAGATGTTCGACGAGCAGGTGTCCACATACTTTTGGCCATGTAGTGTATTCACTATAGGTCTCACACTTTTATCTGTTGCTGCATCACTATTGATCATTAGCATACAGTACCAGTCAAAAGTTTGGACACACCTACTCATTAAAGGGTTTTTCTTTATGTAAAAATTGTTTTACATTGTAGAATAATAGTAAATAACACATATGGAATCATGTAGTAACCAAAAAAGTGTTAAACAAATCAAAATATATTTTATATTTGAGATTCTTAAAATAGCCACCCTTTGCCTTAATGACAGCTTTGCACACTCTTGGCATTCTCTCAACCAGCTTCACCTGGAATGCTTTTACAACAGTCTTGAAGGAGTTCCCACATATGCTGAGCACTTGTTGGCTGCTTTTCCTTCACTCTGCAGTCCGACTCATCCCAAACCATCTCAAAAGCACTCCATCACTCTCCTTCTTGGTAAATAGCCCTAAATAGCCTGGAGGTGTGTTGGGTCATTGTCCTGTTGAAAAACAAATGATAGTCCCACTAAGCCCAAACCAGATGGGATGGCGTATCGCTGCAGAATACTGTGGTAGCCATGCTGGTTAAGTGTGCCTTGAATTCTAAATAAATCACAGACAGTGTCACCAGCAAAGCACCCCCACACCATAACACCTCCTCCTCCATGCTTTACGGTGAGAACTACACATGCGGAGATCATCCGTTCACCCACACCGGGTCTCACAATGACACGGCAGTTTGAACCAAAAATCCCCAATTTGGACTCCAGACCAAAGGACACATTTCCACCAGTCTAATGTCCATTGCTCGTGTTTCTTGGCCCAAGCAGGTCTCCTCTTCTTATTGGTGTCCTTTAGTAGTGGTTTCTTTGCAGCAATTCGACCATGAAGGCCTGATTCACACAGTCCCCTCTGAACAGTTGATGTATTTTTTTTTGTTGGTATTTTATTAGGATCCCCATTAGCTGTTGAAATAGCAGCAGCTACTCTTCCTGTGGTCCACACAAAACATGAAACATGACATAATATAGAACATTAATGGACAAGAACAGCTCAAGGACAGAACTACATCAATTTTAAAAAGGCACACGTAGCCTACAGTATATCAATACATACACACAAACTATCTAGGTCAAATAGGGTAGAGGCGTTGTGGCGTGAGGTGTTGCTTTATCCGTTTTTTTAAAACAAGGTTTTCTGTTTAATTGAGCAATATGAGATCGAACGGAGTTCCATGCAATAATGGCTCTATTTAATACTGTACGCTTTCTTGAATTTGGCCCAGCTGTTGGAACTTTGGCTTTCCTGGATATAGCCACTATATTGTGATCACTGCATCCAATGGATACGGATACAGCTTTAGAACTAAGTTCTACAGTATTAGTAAAAATGTGATCAATACATGTGAATGATCTTGTTCCTGTAGTGTTTGTAAACACCATGGTAGGTTGATTAATAACATGAACCAGATTACAGGCACTGGTTACACTAAGAAGCTTCCTCTTGAGCGGACAACTTGATGAAAACCAGTCAATATTCAGGTCCCCAAGAAAGTAGACCTCTCTGTTTACATCACATTCACTATCAAGCATTTCACACATATTATTTAAATACTGACTGTTCGCACTTGGTGGCCTATAGCAACACCCCAAAAGAAAAGGCTTTAGATGTGGCAAGTGAACCTGCAACCACAACACTTTAATAACACTTGACATAAGATATTCTCTAAGCATTACAGGGATTTGGCTCTGAATATATACAGCAACACCTCCCCCATAAGCATTTCTGTCTCTTCTATAGATGTTATATTCTTGTATTGATACTGCTGTATCATCAAATTAATTATCTAAGCGAGTCTCAGAAATGGCTAATATATTAATGTTATCTGATGTTAGCAAGTTATTGATTTCATTAACCTTATTTCTAAGGCTACATATATTAATATGGGCTATTTTCAGCCCTTTCCTGGGAAGCTGATCAGATAGACATAATACTAGAAAGAGCAAACAAAGCAAAATAAAAATATATACATTCAGCAGTCCATTAATCAATTGGTGTGTGTGTGTGCTGCGGGGTTGAAGCTACAAACCCATAGGCTTGGCTCTCTCATCCCTTCCAGGTTTCTGGAAGGTAGGGTGGACAATGAGCCTGTCATAGCGGATGTAAGCAATGTCCCCACGCACTCTGGCAGCTTTCATGGCTGGGATAAGCTCTTTCATCTTCTGGCGCACAGCTTCAGGATAGTCCTTGTTGAGAAAGATATACGTTCCTCTCAAGTTCTTGGCTCTTTCCAGAACAGCTACCTTGTCCTTGAACCTCAGGAACTTGACCACTATCGGCATGGGCCTGTCACCTGGGCCGGTGGTGGTTTTCCAGTCCTTTGGGTGCGCTCCACTTCAATCTTCCTGTGGTCCATCTTCAATGTCTCAGAGATCATTTCCCTCACTTTGTCCTCAGACTCCGTCCAGGTCTCATGTGGAGATTCTGCAATTCCGTCCACAACCATGTTATTACGCCTTGATTGTCCCTCGAGACAGTCTGATTTATCCGTCATTGTTATCATGGATTCACAGACAGAACTGATGTCCTCTCTCAATGTCTTACAGATTTCTGTAATCTTGCTGTTCTCCTTGTCACGGTTTCGGCCGAGGCTGCTCCTCCTCCTTGCTCGGGCAGGCTTTGGCGGTCATCGTCCCCGGAGTACTAGCTACCACCGTTGTATGTTATCGATGTTTGTTTGGTTTTGTCTTTATTGTACACCTGTTTCCGTTTGGGTTAATGATGTCCCCTATAAGTTTCTCGTTTTGTTAGTCGTGTGTTGTGTGTTATTGTTCGCCTGTCATTTTGGTGCTGCTCGTGTTTTGTATTTTCCTGGTCTGTCGCACTGTGTGTTTTCGTGCGCTTGGAGTATTGTATTTTACGCACTGGTGCGTATCACTCGCCTCCTGTTTTGTTTGAGGTCAGTGTCTTGTTTATTGTTTTGTGCAGTAAAAGTCGGTTGACTTAGCTTCTGTGTCCTGCGTGTGACTCCTCCACCACATCCACCTCAGCCGGTTACTGACAGAATAACACACCCCCATGGAGTCAGCAGGAGCCGCAGCAGCGCACGATCCTATGGAGGAGCGCGTCCGCGGGCAGGACGAGAGGATACAACAGCTCACGATCGCCCTGCAGGAAGTAATCACCACGCTCCACCGATGGGATAACAGAGGGGTACCCACACCTCCACCTCCCGGACCTCCACCTTCGACCAGTCCTGCCATCCAAGTTCCGGAATCCAGGGGAATTCGGCTCTCGCTCCCGAGGGCGTATGATGGCACCGCAGCCGGGTGTCAGGGGTTCCTTCTGCAGGTGGAGCTCTACCTGGCCACCGTACACCCGGCGCCCTCGGGACACGAGAGCGTTTCCGCCCTCATCTCCTGTCTCACCGGCAAGGCGTTGGAGTGGGCCAACGCTGAATGGAGGGGGATAGACGCCGCCACCATCACCTACGCGTCTATTCTACCTCCGACAGGGGAAGAGGAGCGCACAGGAGTTCGCCCTGGAATTCCGGACCCTAGCGGCGGATGCAGGGTGGAATGAGCGGGCCCTCATCGACCACTACCGTTGTAGTCTACGGGAGGACGTCCGTCGAGAGCTGGCCTGCAGGGATACCAACCTCACGTTCGACCAGTTGGTGGACATGTCCATCCGGCTGGACACCCTGCTGGCCACCCGCGGATGTTCCGAGTGGGGGTCGTCCATTCCACCCTCCAGCACCTCCGAGCCGAGCCCAATGGAGCTTGGGGGTGCTGGCGCTAGAGAGAGGAGGAGGAGCCCGA